GCGGGGTCCTCTCCCTGGAACTAGCCCTTCGTATCCCAGGTCCGCTTGGGGGAAAAACGGTGAACTCCCCAGATCCGCTTCCTTTTGTGGTTAATAAAAGGGCCCTTGTAGAGCCTGGGGAAAAAAAATTTGCAAGGGCAAGTGAGTACCTTGCGTGTTTTGACGTCTGAAAACCTGACTCCGGAGAATCATTGAATCATACGTTGCAAGTTTCAGTGTTTAATGAAGTTTAGGGGACGCGTATTACTTGTGTTTGTAAAATCTTTGCATCGCGCACCCCAAGTTTGTCGCCCCAGTACCGAAAGCAGGGCCGAGCGGGGGTGGGGAGGGTCTCCAGTCCCAGGCGCTGCTGCACTCGGGGCTTCTGCCCAGTTTCCTGCCTCGGAGTTGTCGTGTCCGCCCCAGCTCAGAGCAGTTTGTGCAATTTAGAAACCCGATAGGAGGCAGCAGCTGATCTCCCACCACCCTAAAAATAATCCGCTCCGGCGCCCTGCGTGCTTCGGCTAGGGGAGGAAAACTGCCTTCGGAGTAAGTGAGTCCGTATTTTTTACATAAATATGACAAACATTTTAAGAGTAACTCTAAACTGTCGATTTCGGCAACCAAAAGGCGCCCGCGCACTCTCGCAGCGCTGCCTTCAGGGTCGCTATTTCTAGGATTAAGGCACCGGGCCCCAGCCAGAGAAGAGAGGGCGTGGGGATCAGGTTTCCAGCTTTACTTACAAAACTCTGCCGGCTCCTACTTAAAACCGGCCGGGAATAGTGCAAGGAGTTATTACTAATTTTTTTCTCTTAGATAGTCTCCTGTATTGTTCATGAAGTAGTTTTGTGTCTGCTTAATTTTTGTTACTCTTTACTTTTTAGGAGTTCTGCGTCTGGGTTTGAAACTGACACTTAAGACAGTGTAGGAAGCCGGTGTTTTGAAGGTAAAGTGCACGAGTAGGGGTTTGAAGCAGCATCAAGCGACTGCCCAAGGTATTTATTTTTTGCTTGTTTGTTCAATTTGGGATTAAAAAAATATCCTATTGGCGTGTCTGAATCTTATCTGTTGAATACCATTTCCTTTAGTGTGCGATAGAACTTCAACGGGTGCATTGAGATCAGGCACTAAATCAGAAGTCAGTGGTCATTTTTGCTAGTGATTTTCCTACTTGGATCTGTCATTCACAGACAGGGAAATAGACATCTTTTGCTTCCTATTTTGTGAATCACAGACTGAATGAAAAATTTCAAAGAAGTTATTACATTCGTTTCTTAAGTGATCTATCCCTGAAAAGTCCCTAGATAACGGTAATGCCTTTACAATGTCATGTTTCTCTCTTATAACATACAGTTAATCTCAAATAACTAAAGAAATAGTTACTTTGTATGTAAGAATGAAAGTTTTTATAGTGCTTTTAGCATGTTTTCTTCAGGTGTTTCTAGCATGTTTAAGTTCTCGGAGGTTGCTACTTCATTAGAACTGACACTTTCTTCTGTATGAGCAGGAAAGAGTGCTAGTTTTTACTTTAGCCTTCAACTAAATCCAAATTTTATAACTCTTGAGGGTGTGGAACTTTCTATAATGCATTTCAAAGAATAAGAATACTGGGGGTGTGATTCTTGCCATGAAACCTTACGTTTGGGCATCAAGGAGTATTTTCCTTCTATGCTTTCTGCTTTGCAGACCATCCCTATAATCAAAGTTTCACTTTTGACATTTGTCTTTAAGGTTCATTCAGTCAAGTTCTTCAACCCTGTCTGCTGTCCTAAACACTTGAACATCTTTCAGTGGGTTTATGCCTGTGGGAAGAAAAGTGTCATGTCTTCCTATCTGGCTTCTTTCCCTCTCCCTCCTCCTGGATGCTTGGGCCTCTTGTCAGTGCTTAGTTGAAGGAGACAGCTCCAGAAAGGGGCTGGGCTCAGGGGCGTCACGTGACAGAGTTTAGCCGGCTAGAGCAGCAATTTATACTGTTCCCAAAACGTCCCTAACTTAATCATGGTTCTGGGAAGGAAACCCTGAATGACAATAGGAGATTTAAAAATTAATTGAAAGTCCTGATTGAATAAAATGCCTTTGGCAAACATGATAATTATCAGCATAGCTACAAATTTACTCCTTCCCTCTTTTTGCCCCTGTTGAGTTGTAAGATGGGCTGACTGTTAGAATGTGCCATGTGTGTACTACTGTAGGTTTGGAGAAAGAAGCTAAGGGTCAGAAGGAAAAGCATGGAGGAGGAGGAGACAGAAACAAAGACCCGAGAGAGATGCAGTGAGAGGGAGTGAACAGGTTGGGAGCCCTAGGGCATTTGAGGTTAGAGATTATGGTAGAAGAAAGGAATCATTCTAAAGCTTTCAGTTTACTGATCTGAAGAATGCACCTTAGTATGATTATGTCATTGTGTTATTTCCCTGTCTGGTAGAGCATAACCTTTATACCAAGAGCTACTGGGATTAGTGTAGTCTGATTTATATGGTCTAAAACCACGGGTATTGTTTGTCATGTGCATTCTTGGATTCCTAGTGCCTAGCACATGGTCAGCATCAATATGTATTTTTACACTTAATGAATGGCCTAGAATCCCAGACATCAAGTACGTGGCTGGAAATGTTCTTTGACTTCTGCAGGTTGCTGGGGTTCTCTGATATTTTCTTTCCACCGTTATACACATTTATCCAGAGGTTACTTGATTGGTACGTTTGAGGATTGATTAAACATACCAGGTACACAATGCTTATTATAGTTAATGAAGTATATGTTTTACAAATCCAGGTTATACTTTAGTATCTGGCTCAGTGATAATGATTAAATATCTATCTATCTATCTATCTATCTATCTATCTATCTATCTATCTATCTATAAATGTGGCCAATTGGAATATTATCATTTTGGATAAAATTATAAAACTGGCAAAAGTAAAAATTATTTTCTGGTTCATTTTAGGAAACAGTTTATACATGTCTTTCAGTAAGAGTGGGTTCAAGTTTCTTTTTGTCATTTCTACTCAATAAAAGAGATAGTCTAAAAGATAAAAGAAAGTCTTAGAAATTCCATTACTAGCTATTATTTTTCTGTTTGTTTTTTTTGTATTTTTTCCTGTTTTATTGATGTACATTGCTGTACAAGTTTAAGGTGTACAGCGTGATGGTTTGATTTAGATGTATTGTAATATGATTACCACACTAGGTTTAGTTAAGATCCATCACTTCATATACCTATGGTACATAATACAAAACTTCCATTTTACTGTTACTTAAAAAATCTCAAGTCCTTTTTGATTATTTTATGAAGCTTGGAGCCTTAATAGTTGTTAAGAATTTGCCAAGTATATACCCTCATCTTGAGTTTTTTTTAATATGATTTTTTAAATGAGAAAAGGTCTCAACTGGAGATCATATCAATGATGTTCAGTAAAAGGGCTTACTGGAAACAATATGTGAGAGGAATTCCATATAAGAATTTACGGACTGTAAACACAGGTTTTTTTTAACTAGTTGTTCTGTTCATATAATGCTTTATAAAACTTTTGCTTGAAATTTGGTTTCCGCAATAGTTTACCTACTGTTGCCAATCTTTTCTGTATAACACTGCTTTTTTTCCTAGGGAAAAATACTGTTCGTGACCATTGCTAAATCATTTCTCAATGAAAGGGGAGAGAGAAAAGGTACTAGTTTACTTATACCTTTACCAACCTTTAATAATCTAACTCAGAATCCAGTGTGAAATAATGTGGAAAAGAGACCAAGTACAGTGAGGTTAAAGTCTTAAACTGCTACTTCTTTTAATGGCAATAGATAAAGATGTTTTTTAAAAAAATAAGTTGGAGGCTGCATGATGCAGGGGGAGAAACATAGTTTAAGTCAGACCCATGGGTGTGGATCACTGCTACCCTACTGGTTGGCAAGTTACTGAACCTCAGAATGCTCTCCTCTAAAATACAGATAACTAACATTGCACGGCTGTTCTAAAGACTAAAGATAGTGTATGCAAAGTGCCCAGAATTTGGCAAGTAGTAAGTAAATAGGTGGCATAATAAAAGAATTTTTCAGAAGGCTAAAACTCTTTAGAATTTCACAGTGGTATTTTGATGGAGCAGACCCTTGCTTCTATATCATCTGTCTCAGCGCAGAAACAAGAGAAATGCATTTAAAATGTGAGTTGGAGTGTGTCACTCCTCTGATCAACCCCCCCACCCCAGTGATTCCATTTCACTGAGTAGAAGCCAAAGTCCCAACAATGGCTAGCAAAACCCTGGGTTACCTTGTCCTCAGCTTCTTCTCTAAATTTGCCTACTACTCTAATGTAATATTGATTTCCAATTAAAAAACATTTTTTTTTCTGTTTCAAAACTTGATCAGGGTTCATTTCATGTAAGAATATTCTCTGATTGTGGGACTTGAGTAATTTCACTAAATTATCATTTGAGTTATATTTAATTTATCTGAAGCACTTGATTTTAATAGTCTTCAGAAAAAGGCTGATTGCTGTTGGCCACCACATTGGCTTCAGTGTATTAGTATTCCTTTGTACAGTTAACAAAAAGTGGCAGTAAATTTTGTCCAGCTTAAGTTATTTGCTAATGCATTTTCAGTGAGAAAGGATGAGAAAGGATTTGATATTATACTATCTTGTAGTGTCAGTCAGTAGTTTCACTTTTTCTTTCTTTTTCTTGATATATCATCATTTTTGTTCCGTGAAATCATTTTAGTCACACACACACTTCGTTAAGGTACCATCTTTGGTAGATACTAATAATTATATATCTTCCAAATTAAAATAAAATATTTTTCTCTGGAAAAAAAGATCTAAAAGAAGTGATTTATAGAATGTATAAGGCCTTTATAAGAAACTATCAAATGACTTTGGCATACAGTTTCCTATTTCCTCAGTTGCAAAAATAAAGGGGGTTAATTTTATAATAAAACCTCCTCCTTAGGGCTATGAGTGTATGAAAGGGAATTTAATAATGAAAGCCTCTTTCTCTTGTCTCTTCCTTTTAGAGTAAGTGATATAAGAAGAAATGAGCCTTTCATTCTGTGGTAACAACATTTCTTCATATAATATCTATGATGGTGTGTTACAAAATCCCTGCTTTGTGGATGCCCTCAACCTGGTCCCTCATGTCTTCCTGTTGTTTATCACTTTCCCAATATTGTTTATTGGTAAGTAATCTATTCTCCTATATTTCCTCACCTAATATTCATTTTAAGTCTTATTAATGGTTGAGATTTGGTATAATGTTGACCTAATTTTCCCAACATGAAAACTGATATGTATATCTGTGAGAAAAGAACAAGCAAGTTTTTTGTGCTTCCCAATTATTTATGTCTTGGCATATGATATTTTGGAGATCAAATAGAAGTCACATGTCTCCTTAGAAATGGACTTCAAGTAGCAGCAGCAGTGTTTTGAAAAGCGGGAAAGAGAATTATGTGGGATAGATCTAAAGCCTTTGTTGAGCACTTGTTTTGTGTTGGTGAAGAGAATGGAAAATGGGTAAAACACAGTACTTGCTTGGAATAGTCATTGGAACTGTCCAGTGAAACAGATGTATCAAAGTCAGGGGAAAAATGACTATCCCACATTGTAAGCTCATTTGCAGGTATGGGAACAAATTATCCTGGGCATTAACTTGCTAGAACAACTAATTCTTGGGGCCAGTGGGGATGATTGCACGAAAAGTGACATGTTGGGGGATCTGAGGACACAGAGAGTACAAGTTCAAGTAGGAGTGATAAGGCTGTGTTCCAGGTAGAAAGAATACTTTATGCAAACTATTTGCAAAGGAGCTAAAAATACAGTTTTCTCTATTATTTTACAGTTTACATATACACAAAATCCAATTATTTAAAACAATTATGTATGACTCGTATAACTTCCCCAAAACAATCAAAATAGATCTTTAACTTAAAAAATTTTTTAAAATACATTTCACATATAAAAATGACAGAGACTAATATGATAAACATCTATTGAGCCTGTCACCACTCATCTTAAGGAGTCTAATGGTAAGAATATAAGTGAATCCCTCTGTTACTGTTTCCTGAGCCTGTTACTCTTCCCACATCCTATGTCCTTGTCCATTCAAAAGAGGTAACTACTCTCTGAATTTGGTGTTTAATTTTGCTCATAAAAATAAATCTGCTTATAAAAATAAATGAAAAAAACCATCAGACTTCTTTTCTTAAGAAAACTAGCATATTTTAATGATCTGCTTCAAAAGAAGGTTTAAAAATAATTTGCACGCTTTTATTTCTTCATTTAACAAATACTGATTGAGAGACTACTATGTACCTGGCATTGTAACAGTGATCAAAAAATTTCTGTTATAAGATATATTATATGCTGAGGCCAACAAAACTCTTGGCACATTGTTATTCATGTTAAACAAATATATAGACATTAAATATAACTGTGCCAGAGTGGCCATATATAGAAACATGAGTTGTTGTTTATGTGGTTGGTATTATTTGTAGGACATTAACAATGCCCTTTGGCCAAAAGTAGACCATACTTTTTTAAACGCAATTTGACAGTTAATAATTTATTTTTGACATTCAACTCACTTCTTGAGGGCAATTACTGTGACAGTCTTGTTTGTATCAGTAGCATTGAACATAGGCTGGTAAAGGGTATTTGAATCAAGTGGAGTTGGAGTGAACATTGTCAAAGGGGAATGGTGGAGGAAAATGTAGACTGTTCACCTCTAACATTGGCTACTTGAGTTAGTGAAAGATCATAAATAAATCTCAAAGAAGTATCAGGCATAAGGAAAGCTTGCTTGCAAGAGTTTACAGCATAAATTCTAGTACAACATGTTATATGTAACTAGTCTTTCCATAATGAAGTTCATTTGGGAACAACTAAGACATGAATCAATTTTCTTTTCAAAGAATGCTTCAGGAGCCCCATTAGTCCTTGCAGAAGTTCCTTCCTGCAATATTTCTAGCACAAACCCCGATTCATTCTTGAAGTATGTGAGGCTTCTCTACAAACAAAACATTTCTTTGAGAAAATATCGCTACCACTGTTGAATAGTGCTGGCCCAGTCATAGGTTATAATTTTTCTCACATGATACGCATTTGATTGAGTTGACTCAACTAATGAGTTCTATATTTCATTACCAAGTATGGCTCTTTTCATTAGTCCCCCCACAGATTCCATGTTTTGAAAAAGATTTTAGACACCAAATTGCTTTTATTAACATCATCATTAATTTGGTTTCCTCTTAAATGAATCAGGGACCTCTCAGTAAGAGCTCTGATGAGCATGAGATAACCATGTTGTCACCCAGAGTTGGCCTTATCCTTGAGCAGTGCAACAAATGTCAATGTGTTAACCTAGGCAGTCTTGTAAAAATTCATTGAAATTGAATTGTTATTTTTTTAACATAATGAAAATAGACCAGGATTTTCATTGCTACCCTAGAAAGCACCTCTCATTCCTCTTTCGGGAATCTCCCATCCCCAAATCATATCACAATATGAATTATTTCCATGATTATAATTAATCCTTTTACTTCTTCTCTATTTTTTTCAGGGTGGGGAAGTCAAAGCTCAAAAGTACAAATTCATCATAACACATGGCTTCATTTTCCTGGACATAACCTGAGATGGATTCTTACATTTGCTCTTCTCTTTGTGCATGTTTGTGAAATAGCAGAAGGCATTGTTTCTGACTCGTAAGTGATTCAACATAGTTAATATGATTACACTATACTAGTGAGTGTATTGATATGATTGGTAGTTAAGAGCATACCAAGTCAGGCTTAACCCTTCAGTTATAACTCATTAGGAACAACAGCTGTCACTCATTTTATAGCAGTCCTGCTTATTTGTGATTTCATTTACCCATGCTCAACCGAAGTCTGGAAGCAAATGATCCTCCTTCTGATGATGGGTAGTCAGAAGGTCAGTCTACTAACACTGCATTACAATGCCTATGCCATTCACCTCACTTGATCTCATCATGTAGATATTTTTCTCATCTAACATCATCACAAGAAGAAAGGTGAATACAGTACAATAAATTATCTTGAGAGAGGGAGAGAGACCATATTCACATAACTCTTACTACAGTATATTGTTATAATTATTCTATTTTATTATCATCAGTTGTTAATCTCTTACAGTGCCTAATCTATACATTAAACTTTATCATAGGTATGTATGTATAAGAAAAACATAGTATAGGGGCGCCTGGGTGGCTCAGTCGTTAAGCGTCTGCCTTCGGCTCAGGTCATGATCCCAGGGTCCTGGGATCGGGCCCCATATCGGGCTCCCTGCTCAGCAGGAGGCCTGCTTCTCCCTCTACCACTCCCCCTGCTTGTGTTCCCTCTCTCGCTGTGTCTCTCTCTGTCAAATAAATAAATAAAATCTTTAAAAACAAAAAACAAAAAACAAAAGAAAAACATAGTATATATAGGATTCAGTACTATCTGTGATTTCAGGCATCCACTGAGGTCTAGGAACATACCCCCTGCAGATAAGAGGGGGACTGCTGCATTTGATAAGCATGTGTTTTGTCTGTATTTTTGTGTTGCCACGTAATTTCTCTGATGACAAAAATTCAGGTCTCTGTGACTTACACTTATTCATGTGCTATTTCTTTGTTCCTTCATCTCTATAGCTCTTGCAGAAAGTTCTCTCCTTTTAAACATTTTGATGTTTACTTTACCTATCAATGTAAGTATACATAGAAAGATTGTCTATATTGACATATAGCTCAAATAGCTATATATTTACATAAAATATATAACCAGTTCCCAGATGTTTCCATTTGTTTTATAAAGAAGCAAAGATAGGTGAGGCGGGCATTAAAGAAGTCTGAGAACCAGTGAGGATATAGCCACAAATTGAGGCAAAACACAAAACTGTTTTAAAATCAATATTTGCCATAAAACCCATATTTTTGAAGGAATTGAAGGAATTTTGTCATTCTTATAAAAGAAGTTTGCATTAAGCAGTTAGAATATAATGAATTCTACTTATAAACCTGAACATAATGTGGGAAAAATATTTTTATCATGTATTAACAAAAAATAGGAAATAATTTTGATAAGCAATATCAAATAAGAGAATTTTGATTATGAAATTATGCTAAATAGTGCACCATCAATTGAAGAATTGATATGAAAAGTTCTTAAGAGCTTTTAAAAAGAAAGCTCAAAATCATTTTTCTTTTATTAATAAGGACCTCCCCTGACATCTGTTTATGTTTTTCTGTTGCAATTAATGAGGAATGAAACTTCTAAGCTTTTGTTATGGAGCCAACTATTTTGTAATGTTTTATGACAGTTCTTTGCATGGATGTGCACGTCTTAGTTTCTGATAAAAAGAAAAATCAAGGACTCTGATGATATTGCATGCCTTCAAGCATTTAGAAGCTTGATTGGCTATTATCTTACTGATTACTGTTTAAAACCCTTTGGTGTATTTGTATTCTATTATATTAGCATAGGCAATTCTAGTCTTTCTTTTTAATCCCTTAACATACAGGCTGACTCTGTGTGTTTCTGTGTGTATGTATAAGATGGACCAGTCCAACATTTCCTAAAAACTTGACACCATGTAGGCAAGAATGTCTCCTTCTTTCCAGCCTCATGATTGATGTATAGATTCAGTCAGAGACTTAGAGGTTGGGCTAAGAAGGGTGAAGATATATGCTAATGGCAGAAATTTGTTTTATAGTAGTAATGATATAAAAGGCCCATCCTGAAATCAAGCAGAAATGCACTCTTGATTTGTGTTACCCCCTCCCACTCCTTAGCTGCAGACTGCTGACTGCTTTCCCTTAGTCTTTTATTTATTTGTTTGTTTATTTATTATTTTAATTAACATATTATGTATTATTTGTTTCAGGGGTACAGGTCTGTGATTCATCAGTCTTATATAATACCCAGTGCTCATTACAGCACATACCCTCCCCAATGTCCATCCCCTTACCCTTTTTATCCAAACTTCTCAAAAATCATTTTCCAATGATTCCTGAACTCCAAAATTTAGTTTGCTTTCTTGCTTGCCTTGTCCTATTCTGGAAACTGCTTGTACAAGAATGCCAGTGAACATTAAAGACACTTCAATGAACAGCTTTTCTTCCTTATCATACTTATTACATTTGACATTGCTGATCATCCTTCCTTCTTTTTCTTTTTTTTTTCTCATTAAACTTTTGTTTTAATGGGTCTCAAAATTCTGTGACAGATTTTTGGTCAAGTCGTTTCCATTAAAAAGTACTGATTTTAAAAAGTAATAACTTAAAACTGCCACACACACACACACAAAACAAATGGTCCACAAAACAAAAAAACAAATGGTCCAGAAAACCTTCCTTCTTTTTCTTTAACAAAATATTTATGAAATATTCTTTGCTGAAAATGTAACATATGCTCATTGTAATTAGTGAAACAGTGCAAAGACTTTCCTAATTGAATATTTGATTTTCATTTTTAGTAATACAAATATTAAAGCTATTCATTTTTCTTTTGAAACACCTTTACCTGTTTTGCACAGATTTTTGTTAAGAAATGTCCTTTTTTTTATTTCTATTTAAATAGTTTGTGGTTCTGCTTTAGATACTCTCCTAGATCTAGGAATCATTTTCAGTCTGCTTTTTAGTCTAATATGATTGATTTATTAGTAGAGCATGTAAGTGGTTAAACAAATACCTTTTAGGACTCATTAACATTTCCATTTTAGTTAAATATTTAATTATTTTATACAGTTTTAATGAGAATTAGAAAATAATATATTTATTTTGTTGGAGACAAAATTTTATTGAGTTTACTGATTGGATTACCCAAGTTTTACGTGTTGATTATTTTTATACTATTTAATTCATCAAATTCTAAAAATGTGTTTTAAAGTTTTCACTATTATTATGTTTTCATTTCAGCTTTTATTTTTATCATTTTGTCTTTTTTGAGATTATTTTTTTTGTCCTCCATGATGAATACATTTTGATTTTCTTCTTTACTTTCTGAGTGAAGATTTTCTGCTATAATGGGATATGTGTGCTTCTACCAGAACTTTGAGGTCTGCGAGTCACACTCTAAAAATAACAGAGCTTAAGGGAAAGAATAGGGTTGGGACACCACTCAAAACTTGTGCAGCTTTGTAAGTAGACAACTAACAATATAATAGCAATCCTAATAAAAAGACTAGCATGGTTAAAAGACCCATGAAATCCCTAACAAAGAAATGCCACAATAAGTATAAAACTTTACTGTAGCTGTTGCTGTCTTTATTCATCCCTTACTATAGTGTCTTCCTTAATGTTGTTTTGTCATTCTTTTTCTAACTTCTTGAATTGACTACATAATTTATTTATTATAATGTTTTCTTATTGAATATGTTTGAAGTTAGTTATAAACTTTCTTCTGAGTATGGTTTTGACCACATTTATTTATAGGCCTTGATAGGTAGTATGCTCATTTTTAAATTTCCTAAATATTAGGCAAGTGATTTTTAAAATTCTTTCTTTCGTTCCTTAGTAAAAGAATACTGGAAGCATTTCTTAATTTCCATGCTGATGAAATATTTACTTCCTACTTTTTCTTTTTGACCATTTTGAACTATTTCTGGGGGGTGGTGTATACCATATGGACATGGTAACGAAAATGTGAAAGTACCACAATAGCCTAAAAGCTGGTTTAAAAACCACCTACCACCCCCCAGAAATAGTTCAAATCACTTGCTTAATATGGTGTATATCACTGGTCATATTCCAAATCTCTGCATACACTGGGCCTATTAGACAACTCCCTTTGCATGTTTAATAGACACCTTCACGGTCTGCATGGCTTTGCTGGAACTTACTAGCTTCTTTTCTCCAATCTGCTCATCTTCTTCAAGACTTAAGTGGTTACCCGCCATCCACCTAGCCCCCTTGGGAATTATTCTTTATGTCTCCTTCACCATCACCCTAAGATCCTAAGACTATTAAAGTCCTGTCCATTTTAACAATGAATATTTTCCAGATGTTGTATTACTTCTTTGTTTTTGCTGCCAAAGCTTAGTTCAGGCTTCCATCGTCTCTCGCCTGGCCTATACCCATAATTTGCTAACTGCCTTTTTTCCTTCTATGTCTCTTTCCTCTCTTCAGAGGCACACACTACCTATCAACTCCATCATCCGTGTTATTACCAGATTGATTTGTCTAAAACCCCCCAAAATCTTGCCATACCACTTACCTGTTAAAATATTTCAATTTTCCAAAAGATTAGATTCCGGCTCTTTACCATGTCATAAGAGCTTTTCACCATGCATCCTATATCAAACTTTCTGTTTGAGAATTTTAAACTACTTGGAATTTTGAACATGTCACACAGTTTTGTGCTCCCATGTATTTACACATTTTGTTTCCTCTTTTTAAAGCGCTTCCTACCATGTTCCTGACTAGTGGATTCCCTTTCATATTTCAGTTTCCACCTTCCACCATATCTTGAAGTGTCTTTCCCAAATGCTCCTCCTTCCCCCACTCTCAAACTAGTCACTCTCTATACCATTTATGTACGAATGTATTTAAGTAATTTGAGAAAAGTTAAATGTTTTACTAGGTGGCGTTATTAATGTAAATGAGTTGAGGGCTGTCTACCATGCAAATCTGGTTTTGTCATGTTTCCAATCCATGTGAAGCTCTCTATGGCCCTCAGAGTGAAATCAAGTCTCTTTTCAGTCATATTCAGTTGCGTGTGATACACTGAAACATGTCTGGATCCTCTGCCCGGAACCGTCTTCCTTCTTCCTCCTCTGGGTAACATTCCTCAGTCTTTGGTCCTCAGTTCAGAAGTCGGTTCCTTCACAAAGCTTTCTCTTCCTCAGTCGCTGGCCCTGCATGCGCTTACAGTCTCTTCACCTGTGTGATCATCTCCTATTTCCTATTGCTATTCCCAGGAGACTCTAGGCTTTGTGACCCCTGATACTATATCTTGTTGTGTTCACTGTTGCATCCCAACATCTAATAGTGCCTGGACACAGCAAACACACGTGTGTTGAATGCATCAATGCCAATGGTGAAATCACTAAGGGCCGTAAAGTTTAGGAAAACCATCAAAGGAATAAATGTACTTTTCTTGTACATTGGAGTTCATATCCATGTGGTTGTTTTCAGTCGCTTTAGGTGTTAACTTATTTCAGCAGTTCTGCCCTTCAGTAGAGGAGACGTTACATGTTTGCTCTTGTTGTGAGTATTTAAGGGCTTGTTTAGCTATGGTACCCGGTCCTCTGTGTTGGGGATAAATCTTTTCTGTGGAATTATGTCTCCCAACATAGTCTTCCTTTGCATGTTCTCTTAGCAATGACTACTGCATTCTGTATCTTAAGTATCTTATTCATAAGAGAAAGTTTTAATGGACAATTTGGAAACAAAATGAGAAACTGTCTGGAACCATCAGCTCTAGACACTGATTCTGTCCCACTCTCTGTAGGCGGCGGGAGTCGCGGCATCTCCATCTCTTCATGCCGGCTGTGATGGGATTTGTCGCCACTACAACATCAATAGTATATTATCATAACATTGAAACATCAAATTTTCCTAAATTACTCTTAGGTAAGTATGATCAAGTGTCCTCCTCCTTCCCCAGAGCTATTTTTCTTTCTCCTTCTAGTAAACGCTGGGGCTGGGACTGGGGAGCAGGGGAAAACCACAGTAGTTAATTCTTCCCTAGTCTACTGGTGAATGGGGGAGATGAAAATAAACTGAGTGCTCTGGGCTGTGAAAACGCTCTTCCCCCAGGATGTCTGTCCTCCACTAGATGCCCCTCGTGATGTGTTGGTGTGTGGCAGTGGGATTGGGGGAGGGTTGTGCCGGCCTTCTGGCTCGCAGAGGCTCTACTCTAACAATTGAGCCCTTGCCCGGTCCTGCCCCAGGAGCAAGTCAGTGCATCTAGCTCCCTGCATTTCTGCCTCTGTCTTGGGGTCCTGAGGCATTTTCTGAAGGTCCCAACTGTTCAGCGATGCTGCGGCAATGTCACATTCTTTGTAGCACTGCTGCCCAGGCATGGGGGACCCAGTGCAGCAGAGTCTGCTTCGCAGCGTGCTGCAAACTGTACTGTCCTGAGAAGCAGGTGTCCTCAAAGCACGGCGTCTCACATCTGCTTCATGCCTAACCTTTTCTTTTTCAGCCTCTCTTGCCTCTTTGTCCTGTGGAAAATAAGAGCCTATCTAAAGTGTTCTAACTTTATTTTTGCCTGCCATGGTAATAATATCGCTTATCCCAATTAGTTGTATTGAATACTCTGACCAATCCTTGCATTCCGTGGTGTATACTTTCAGAAAGAGAGCTAAGATTGAAGGTGTAGAACATGGATCATGGCTGGACTTCAAGGCCTGTAAATATCCTAAAATTGCAGGCACAGTCTTGTGTGTTTGTGTGAATGAACGCTTACAATTTTGCAAAGTACGGAGAGTGCACTTGATTGTTAAATGATGAAAGTGATGTTGATTACTGATACAGAAATTTGGAAAAGTAATAATTAAACCACACAGATATTTTATTTGCTTGTCCTGAGGTCATTGAAATTTAAAATGAATTAGAGGAAAATACTGAATATTTAATTCTGTGTTGCACCACGTTATGTGATTGGGCGAAGGCAATCTAAGTACAAACAAGTAGACTGGGTTAAATATTTTTAAAAGGCTTGTCAAAGTCTGAATTATCTTTAAAAAAAGCTGTTTAGTACAACATGAAAGGCAGATGTTATCACAGAAATCTTTTTTTGAAGATACCAAGAAAAAAGAGTGAAATTTTTAGCAGGCAACAGAAAAAAAAATTACTGTTGGGAATCCAATATGTTAGACATTTAAGTTTCTGAAAAATTGATGATGAATAAGATATGTTGTAAGATGTAATTAGAAGGGAAATGTGCATTTTGGTAATATTCTGAAGGAGACGTGATCAGAAGCTGGCTGTAGATATAAGGCAGAGGGCATAATTAGATCATATTGCTGGAAGGACTTATGGAGATAAAAGATAGTCTAAATTTCTCGTTATTTTAGGAGAGAAATATTCGGGCCTAGAAAAATTACACTTATTTTCAGATCACAAAACTAGTAATTTTGTCCCAACATTATATTATGAACATCACCAAACATACAGAAAGTTAAAAAGAACCAAGTGAATACTCATAAATACCTAATACATAGACTCTTCAATTTCCTTTTTATTCTATTTGTTTGATCGCATTTCTGTATCTTTCTATCCCTCCATCCATTGGGCTTATTTTTTATACATTTTAAAGTAAATTGCAGACATTAATATACTTCACCTCCTAATTATTTCAGCATGCAAGTCATTAACTAGAGTTAAATTTTTCTACAGTTGTTTTTGTGAGATAAAATTTACGTGCTGCGATTCATCAGTCTTACACAATTCACTGATGAATCACGGACCTGTACCTCTGAAACAGATAATACATTATATGTTAAAAAAAAAGATAGCAGGAGGGGGAAAATGAAGGGGGAGAAATCGGAGGGGGAGACGAACCATGACAGAGTATGGACTCTGAGAAATAAACTGAGGGTTCTAGAGGGGAGGGGGGTGGGGGGATGGGTTAGCCTGGTGATAGGTATTAAAGAGGGAGTGTATTGAATGGAGCACTGGGTGTTATACGCAAACAATGAATCATGGAACACTACATCAAAAACTAATGATGTAATGTATGGTGATTAACATAATAATAAAAACTAATAAAAAAATTTACGTGCTGAAGTGTAGAAATCTTAATTTGCTGAATACACACACCTGTCTAACCCTATCATGCTATAGAACAGTGCCATCATCCATGAAACTTTTCTTGTATCAATCCTCACTTTCATCTCCACAGAGGCAAAAATCTAATCTGATTTTTTTCCCACCATAGATAGGATTTGCCTGTTCTAGAATTTCACATAAATTGAGTCATGCAGTATAAATTCTTTTGTGTAATACTTCTTTCTCTCAGCCTGATTTTTTTGAGGCTCATCCATAATTTAGTATAGATCAGTATTTTTTTCTTGTAATTATTGGGTATTATTCTATTGTATAAAGATACCACAGTTTTCCGTTCTCTTGACAATAATACCTGGACTATTTCCAGGTTTTGGCTATCTTATGGAAAAAAAAACTGGTATAAACATTCATGTGCAAGTCTTTCCGTGGCTAAATGTTTTTTACTTCCTTTGAGTAAATATCTAGGAGTGGAATTGCTGGGTCATAGGGTATATAGGTAAATGTTAGTATTTTGTTAAGAACCCACAAGATCTTTTCCCAAAGTGGTTTACTTTACATACTCGCTAATAATGTGTAGGAGTCCCAGTGTTTCCACATGCTCACCAACATTTGATGATTTGATCTTTCTAATTTAGTCATGCTGGTGGGTGTGTACTGATAATTCACTGTGGTTTGAGTTTGCATTACCCTGATGGCCAATGATGTTGAGCACTTTTTGATAAGTTTATTAGCCATTTGTTATATTTGTAAAGTAACTATAGCATATCTTTTACCCATTTTTTATTGGGTTGCGTTTTTATTATTGAGTTGCAGGAGTACTTTGTATATGCTAAATATTAGTATGGCATTGGTACCTGTTTTGAGAATATTTTCCTTCCAGTCTGTGGCATGCATATTAGGATCTTTTGGTGAGCAGAAGATTTTAATTTTGATGTAGCATAATTTATCATTTTTCATGCATAATTATTGTTTTCTGTGTCTTAAGAAATTTTTGCTTAAGGTATGAGGTTTCCCTCATACTCTCCTGTTTGGTTTTGTTTTTTTAGGAGCTTTATAGTTTTAGTTTTTATTTTTAGGACTGTGATCCATTTAAAATTAATTGTGTATATGATGTAAGGCTGGTGCCAAGGCTTTTTTTTCCCAAATGGATACCCATGTGTTCCAGCACCCATTTGTGGAATAGACTTTCCACTTCTCATTAGGTTGAGTTGGGACCTTTGTAAAATATTTGAATCAAATTAACATTTTAGTCTGATCTATTTCTTGGCTCTGTAGTTTCTGTTCCTTTGATCTGTTTGTGAGTTTTATAAGATTACCATTCTGTCTTAATCTGATTACTATTGCTTTGGAGGTCTTGAAATCATATAGTGTACCCATACATCTTGTTTTCTTTGCTTTTCTCCCAAGATTGCCTTTGATATTCTAGTTCTTTTGTATTGTCATATATAGTTAGAATCAGGTTGTCAATTTCTACCAAACAAAAAAATCTCAGTAGGATTTTGATAGGGATTGCACTGAATGTTTAGAACAATTTGGAGAATTGACATCTTAACAATATTAAATTCCACAGTCCGTTTGTTCTTCATTTACTTAGGTCTTCTTTCATTTCCCTTAGCAATGTATTATATTTTGAGGGTAGAGGTTTTCCATGTCTTGTTAAATTACTAGCTTTTTTGTTTTCCCACTGCTATTATAGAGTTGTATTTTAAATTTCATTTTCCAATTGCTTCTGTCATATATATAAAATACAGTTGATTTTGTATATTGATCTTATATTTTGAAACCTTGGAAATTTACTCATGACTTCTAATTATTGCTTTGTAGGTTTCTTGAGATTTTCTATATATACAAATCTATCTTCTGAAAATAGAGACAGTTATACTTATTTCTTTTTGAACTTTATGCTTTTTTCACCACATTGCAATAACTAGGACCTCCAGTAAAATGCAGAATACATATGGGAAGTGTGAAATCTTTGTCTAATGCCCAATTTTAGGGGAAACATGGTCAATATTTCATAATTAATTATAAAGTTAATTGTAGGCTTTTCATAGAAGACCTTTATCAGGTGAATAAGTTTTCCTCTATTCAGAGCTTTCTCAGAGTTGTTTTGTTTTTTTTTTAAATCATGAATAGATGTTGAATTCTATTAAAGACTTTGTTTACATCCATTGGGACAATTATATTTCCATTAATGTGCTAAATTAATTGATTGATTTTTCAAATGATAAAGTAACCATGAATTCCTGGGCTATGTTACACATGGTCATGATATATTATCCATGCTATATATTGCTAGATTTTGTTTCCCAAGTTTTTTTAGATCTATGTTGTGAAGGATATTGGTCTGTTATTTTCTTGTAATATCTTTGTCAGGTTTTCATATGCTGGGTTATACTGGCTTCTTAAAATGAATTGGAAAGTGTTCTCTATTTCTCTATTTTCTGAAAAACATTGTGTACAGTTAATTCTATTTCTTCCTTAAATGTTGAATAGAATTTATCAGTGAAATCATCTGGGCCTTTTAACAAAGTGAGGATTTTAAATTTAAACTTATTTCTTTATTAGACACAGACTCTTCAGAGTATGTCTTGTTATGTCAGTTTTGGTAAGTTACTGGTTTCAAGAAATTTTCCCTTTCATCTAAATTTTTTTATTTATTGTCATAAAGTTCTTCAAGGTATTCCCCAATTATCTGTCTTAAGTATGCAGGATATGTGGGGATAATTCTTTCATTCCTAATACTGGTAATTTATGATTTCCTTCTTTTCTTGATCAGTCTAACTGGGGCCTTAGTAATCTTCTTATCTTTTTAAAAAAATGAACTTTGTGTGCTTAGGTTTGTTAATTTTCTCAATTATTCATTTTCTATTTCACTGCTTTCTACTCTTATCTCTATCGTTTTCATCTTTTTATTTATTTTGTTCATTGTTCTTCTTTCTCTAGCTTTTAAGATACAAACTTAATCATTGATTTTGGATCTTTTTTTCTAAAATAAATATTTAAAGCCATAAATTTTCCTTAAAGTATTGTTCTAGTTGCAATCTTTAAAATTTTAATATGTACTATTTTTATTATAATTTAGTTCAAATACTTTCTAATTTCCCTAGTGATTTTCTTTTTAACATGCGGTTAATTAGAACTGTGTTGTTTAACTTCCAAATATTTGGAGACTTCTGGATATCTAATTGTGTAGAAAGTCTCGAAGTTTACCTTCATAGTCTCTGTCCCTGGTGTTCACACCCTGTATAATCCTCTACCCTTGAATGTGAGTGGGACATGTGACTTGTTTCTAGCCAAAAGAGTATGGCAAAGATGAAGACACCAAATTAGGTGAGCTTCTATCGAGACTGCAGCCCTAGTCAATGCCTGGCTTTTGTAGTCTGGTGAGACCCTGAAGCAGAGAACCCAACTGATCCATGCCTAGACTCTTGACCCATGGAAACTGTAAGATAATAAATGTGTGTTGGTATAAGTTGCTAAACCTGTCATAGTTTGCTAGCAGCAATAGAAGATCAATACACTTACTGTTCTTTTTTGTTTGTTGTTTTTTTAAAATTTAATTAATTAATTTATTTAAAAGTTTTCATCTTTATTATTCATTGATTCATTTGTTTATTTTTTTATTTAAATTCAATTAGACAATGTATAGTACATCATTGTTTTTGATATAATGTTCTTGTTCTTGATTTTTAATTTATTTTCATTGTAAACAGAGAACGTACTTCATATGATTTCTTTATTTTTTCTTGTTTTCTGAGTATATAGCCTATGCCAGTACCATGTCCACTAACAAGAATGTATATTCTGAAGGTGTTTGGGTATTTGGGTGTATTTTTATAATATTAAATATTATATAGCCTTATAAATATCAAACAGCTCAGAGTGGTTGATAGCGTTCAGATCTTCTAAATCTTTATTAGGGAAATGTGTATTTTTTTATTATTGTATCTCTAAAAAATTAACCCTTTGTCATTATTAAGAGTTTTCAAAGTTTCTGATAATACTCTTTTTTTCAAGTTTTTATTTAAATTCCAGTTAATTAACATACAGTGTAGTATTAGTTTCAGGTCTACAATTTAGTGATTCAACACTTACATACATCACCCAGTGCTCATCACAAGTGCACTCCTTAATCCCCCCACCCAATTCCCCTCTGGTAACCATCAGTTTGTTCTCTAGAGTTAAGAGTCTGTTTCTTGGCTTGCCTCTCTCTCTCTCTTCATTTTCCCTTTGCTCATTTGTTTTATTTCTTAAATTACACATATGAGTGAAATCATATGGTATTTGTCTTTCTCTGACTGACCTATTTCACATAGCATAATACTCTCTAGCTCCATCCATGTCATTGCAAATAGCAAGATTTCATTCTTTTTTGTGGCTGAGTAATATTCCATTGTGTGTGTGTGTGTGTGTGTACCACATCTTCTTTATCCATTCATCAATCGATGGACACTTGGGCTGTTTCCATAATTTGGTTATTGTAGATAATGCTGCTATAAACATCGGGGTCCATGTACCCCTTTGGATTAGTATCTTTGATGATAATAGTCTTTTTTTTAAAGATTTTATTTATTTATTTGAGAGAGAGAGAATGAGAGATAGAGAGTACGAGAGGGAAGAGGGTCAGAGGGAGAAGCAGACTCCCCGCTGAGCAGGGAGCCCGATGCGGGGCTCGATCCCAGGACTCCAGGATCATGACCCGAGCCGATGATAATATTCTTTGTTTTAAAGTCCACTTCATTTGATACTAATGTAGCTACTCCAGATTTCTTGTGTTTACTGTTTTCATTGTATATTTTTTCCATCTACTTACTTTCAATCTGTTTCTTTATATGTAAGACGAATATCATTTTTTTGTCTTTTTTGCCTTTAAATTTTTTATTGTTATATTAATCACCATACATTACATCATTAGTTTTTGATGTAGTGTTCCATGATTCATTGTTTGTATATAACACCCAGTGCTCCATGCAGAATGTGCCCTCTTTAATACCCATCACCAAGACTTTATTTGAGAGATAGAGAGAGAGAGAGCATGTGTAAACATGGGCAGGGGCAAAAGGAAAGGGAGAGAGAGAATCCTAAGCAGACTCTGTGCTGAGCACAGAGCCCAATGTGGGCCTCTATCCCAGGACTCCAAGATCTTAACCGGAGCCAAAATCAAGAGTCAGACGCTGAACCAACTAAGCTATCCAGGTGCCCCAAAATGAATCTCTTTAGGTAGCATGTAGTTGCATGTAATTTGGTCTTTTTTTTTTCTAAATCTATTCTGACATTTTCTGTTTTATGCTAGAACAAGTTAGATGATGAGCTTATATACCAAAGTTTCAGTTCTTTTTCACTAAGGAGGCTGTGGCCACCTTTAAACTTCAGTAACTTCAATAAGTATTGTACAATGGATTGTCTCATTTGTGTTTCAGATTTCTTCTTTCTCATCCCATATTAATTTGTACTGACCTTTATTCATATTTTGAAGTATACTGGACCTTTGATTTCTAATAAAGTGTCTGTGTCCATCTCATATTTGTTGTGAAAGGCTGGCTGTGGTTAGGAGATGGCATAGATCTCTACCTTTCTCATCCCACTGCATAAAGTCTGGCTTTGTTCTGTAGGATCATTGTTCTTCTCTTCACTTTGTGGAGGCATGTGGTGTTTTAAGCCATTTGGGTGAGAAGAGTTAGTTACTACTTGAATGTTGTTCCATAAAGCAGAAACCCCATTATATAGCTAATGTGCATTCCGTAATAATTCCAGGGTAATACCATTAGACATACCCCTGCAAGCTGCAATACACTTACCTATTGGATAGGTCATGCAGATAACAACTTGTGAATTCTTCATATAATATAATCAGGGTTTCTTAAAAAAATAAAAACAAGACCAGGAGATAGAATCAATTTTAAAGTCAACAAAATTACACATAAGTTCTGGAATGTAGGTTATTCCTATTTACATGTCTTTTTACATCTACCCATCTATTACAGAGTCGAGGCACTAGCATTTTAAAGTTATTACTGCACCTTCAGTTCAAAACTCCCAAAAGTGCCCTAGGGCATATATGTTGTTTTCTTAAAAAATAAAATTATCTTTGTTATTAAAAAGCATTATATTTGGGTTTCCTGACAGGCTTGGATAAGGTGACTAGAGAAATCCCTCTCAACTCCCAATGTCTATAATCCCAAGGACTCTTTGCATTCATCACTTTGGTAGTTCTTTAAATTCTTCACCTGGAAATCTGGGGATTTGTATAAGAGTATGAGTAATTAGTATATGTATACTTAATGAAAAATAAATTTTTGTGCTAAAAAAAGCATTATATTTATATTGAAACTTCAGTGAAGTTAAAAAAATATCAAGGAAAGATTGCATCTTTTTCCTTTTCCTTTTTTTCCCCCAGCCCTATTTCTGTATTGGGTAATGGCCTTTATTACAAAAACCATAAAATTGGTGAAGTACTGGCAGTCCGGTTGGGGAGTATCAGACTTGCGTTTCTGCATCACTGGCATGATGGTCATCTTGAATGGACTCCTCATGGCTGTGGAGATCAATGTAATTCGGGTCAGAGTAGGTATCTAATCATTTTTTAAACAAGATTTTATTTATTTATTTGACACAGAGAAAGAGATAGCGAGAGCAGGGGGAGTGGGAGAGGGAGAAGCAGGCTTTTCCCTGAGCAGGGAGCCCGATGCGGGGCTCGATCACAGGACCCTGGGATCATGACCTGAGCTGAAGGCAGATGTATAATGACTGAGCCACCCAGGTGCCTTGGTGTCTAATTATTTTTAATTACTGGAATTCAAGACCCCAATATTAAAGATTATAGTCAGCCAGAAATCATTAATATTCAAGAGAATGAGCAAATGTATATCCTCTATGTGTATAAAAGTTGAACTAATCACTAAGTTTCAGGCCATTAGTGTTCCAGAAATCTCAGTATGACCCTAAAATCTATTTATTCACTTGTGCATATTGATTGAGCGATTGTTATGTGCCAAACATTATGCTCAGTTCATATTATAGATGAAATTGTTTTCATCAGGAAATTCCATCATCCATGATTTGTCCCAAGCACACCCATATTAAGCACACTGCTGTATTCCTAGAAATTTCAAAATGAAAAGAAGATAATACGTTTGCTCATTTCACTGATGAAGAAACTTCTACAGAGATAACTAGCTATATCCAAAGCCACACAGTCAAGACTCATGCCTGGTCTGTGATTATAAACCTGTTGTGTTTTGCATCACGGAATGCTGTTATGTTGTGTGACATACTTGTGAATGATTTTTCAATATTCATTTTCTACCAGAGCACTTTGACTTTGCTCTGAATGGCATGTCACAAGCTGTAAGGAATAGTGGAGAACAGTTAGTGAACATCAATCAAATCACAAATTATCAGACAGTGACTCAATAATGGTGTCAACACATTTAGAAAATCTAACTAATGTAAAAGTCTTTTTTTAGTTGACCTTACCACAGGATATCATGAAAGACTGGTTCTTAGTAATAACTATCTTTTAAAGGGATAATCTGTTTGTTTTTTTTTTTTTTAGAATTGTCCTTAAGTGGATTAAACATAAAATTCTGGCATTTAACTAATTAATCTAGTCACAGCAGAGGGAAACATTTCAAAATATATTTCCAAAGAAATGTAAAAGGTATTAAAATATACATTTCATCCCCTTGAAATGAAAATGTAGAAAAGGTTAAAATTTTATTTTAATATGTGGAAAAATAATTAGGTTAATTATTATCCTGCGGAATTTTTCTCACCATAGAGATATGTATTCTTCATGAATCCTCAGAAAGTAAAGCCTCCAGAAGACCTCCAGGATCTGGGTGTGAGATTTCTTCAACCGTTCGTGAATTTATTGTCAAAAGCAACATACTGGTGGATGAACACACTTATCATATCTGCTCATAAAAAGCCTATTGATCTGAAAGCAATTGGAAAATTACCAATAGCAATGAGAGCAGTAACAAATTATGTTTGCCTGAAAGATGCATATGAAGAACAAAAGGTAATTTAGTATCTGTTTTTCATGTCCATAATTGTAGAAAATCGGTCTGTTAAGTATAAAGTTACTAAGCTTAAATATCTATGGTTAAGGAAGATCAGATTTTCTTCATAGGTCTTTCCCAGTACTTTTGAGTTACGTGAATTGGGTCACTGAGAATATACCAGAAGAGCCAATGAAATAAAGTTACATTGTGTTAATTGCCCAGTTCATACATGAGGAGGGATAGAGGGAACACTATTATCTTTTCTGGAACCAAGTGGAAGGTAAAAATTAAGCTCAATGATCATGTATATCTAATCCTTGTTACCATATATTGTTAATAACTCGTGGAATTGTTAAGTTTTTTCAAGTATCTTGTCAATAATTTTGTTATATAAAGGTAAAATAAATCATATAATAACCACATTTAATAAACTAAAATCCCTAAATTAATTATTGACTAAAATTTGGAGCCTGTATTTCAAACTTGAGAAACTGAATTAAATAAAGTTATCTACCTATTCCATGTATTATCTTATATGTCTGTCAAAATTGGTTTCTTCCGGTACTTTCTTTGAGCAATTGCTTTAAAAACCTTAAATATGAGTCTTTGGATATTTTGAATTTGTCTTGTTATTATTCTATACAGTCATGTGTGCTCTCCACAGTGATAGATGTAATTGATCTGGCAGTCATCTACTAATATTGTTGGAATTGAAATTATTAGTATTCACAACAACATTGGAAAGGGTAGGGTAAGGTGAATCAGTTAGAGATTTTGTTCTAAATCAAGACAACAAAGCATTTATGGTAAATGATGAAAATGACCTCAGTTTTGTGTCAAAACTGTGTCTTCTGAAATTAATATTGCAAGAAGTGGTTACTACAAATGAACCTGAGTCATCTCTTTGGTTTCACCTCTGGGAAAAGTATTGCATAATATTTTTGAAACTTCTTTGCTAAAGTAAAGATTAACAAAATAGCCTAAGCATAGTTTAAGTGTTCTGCATACTCTTTATAATACAGATCAGCTTGAATTTAGTGCGTTAACGTCTTGCATTAATAAACTTTTAAAAGTAATCAAATTATTCATCTAATCGGGAATCGAATATGAAACACAATTGAATTCTATTCTATTGAGTTGGCTTCCCACAATGAAAAAACGTTATTCACCTCCTCTCTAAGACTTAATTATGATGATTATTCAGGTCTTAAAATCCTTTCAACAAACCACTACAGATGTGTGAAGCCATGCGTTGGCTTAAACATATAAGCCATTCTTCAATTTTGCATCTCTTTGTCAAATAACTAGGAAACACAAGTCTAACACAACTTTAAACTGTACTGACTACTATTCATGGAGATAGGAAATACCTGGAAGAAAAACAATTTGAAGTTGGGATGATCTGTTTTGTTTAGCTTGTAGTAAAATATCTTTAGCTTGTGATAAATATCTTGTGATCTAGTAACTCCAGAAATCTTGACTAGTCTTTTGATAAGTTTGATTTTTATACTTCACTATCTTCTTTTCCATACCATGGTATTTGGTAATATTCATGACAGATACACATGTTCCAAACAAACAAAAAAATTAAAATTAATTTGACCTTAAGAATTTTGGGTTATCCTTTGACAGCTAAAAATAATGCAAAGTCTTTGAAAATCTGGCCTATTTACTCTTTATTCTATCCCATTAAAAGGTGTTCAGTAGCTACTGTTTGCATAGAATGCAATGGACTATGGATTATGCATACTATACTAAAGGGACTCCTTAACACTGACTTATAAACTTAAAATATCATCAGAAATATCAGAAGGAATTGCCATAGTTGCTGAGATTAATTGCTGTGCTAGCAGTTTTATTTTGGTTCATCTGTTTTATTTTGTTTTGTTTTGTTTTGTTTTCTTTCAGAAAAAAGTAGCAGATCATCCAAACCGGACTCCATCTATATGGCTAGCAATGTACAGAGCTTTTGGACGACCAATTCTACTTAGTAGCACATTCCGTTATCTTGCAGACTTACTGGGTTTTGCTGGACCTCTCTGTATTTCTGGAATAGTTCAACGTGTGAATGAAACCCAGAATGGGACAAATAACACAACAGGAGTAAGTTTGTGGTGCTTTTGAAAGGAAGCATATTATTGGCAGATTTCATTGTAATTGTTCCTTTTTATTAATGCAGTTCTTTGAACAGTTCAAACAGGCTTATTTACAAGAATTGAATGCATTTAAAGCAAAGAAAACAGTAATTTTCCTTGTAGTGAAAATCATGTGTTTATTTGTTCACTGAATGGATCTGTTCAAAATTATTTCTCGGATTCAGAGCCTATAAACATTTAATGAGTATCTACTATGTGCCGAAACCATGTTCAGAAATTTCACATTGATTATTTTCTTTGATCTTTTCAGCAACCCTTTGAAGAATTTTCATGCATGAGTGCATCAGGGGTGGCTGGGTCACTTTTTTTGGAGGCCTGTGACCAATCACATTAGCAATGTGATTTGTACTATATACATTTTTCTTTTTATATAATAAAAACCATCACCCTGTTTCACAATGAACAGGGCAAGTCATATTATAATATTTTTATTAGATATTATGCTACTATTTGGGGGGCTATACAGTATAAGATACTATATCTTTGCTGTTATAAATATATAGTCTTTTATTCTGTATTCTTAAGAAAGTCTCAGCATGAACTTCCCAGTTTCTTTCTAAGAGCTGATTTCCCTAGGTTCACAGAAACTCTAGTCTAGATACATCAGTTTTCCTTTTCTATTCCCTCAATCTAATTTGCTGTCCTTTTTTCTTCACCTGTTAAAATTTCATGCATTCTTAAAGCCTACATCAAATGCCACCTCCTCAGTGAAGCTTTTCTGATTATTCTGGTTGGAATTTGACTCTTCTTCGTGCTGTCCAACATACTATTTATTTCACCTTGGCACTTGCTATAAATGTTCTTTATAATGAAGCAAGTTATTTATGGATATGCTTATCTTTCTAGGTGGTAAGCTCTTTAAACAGAAGGACTGTGAACTGTTAATATTTATGTTCACGATGTGTAGCCTAGTCACTTGCGCATATTGGTGCTCAATTATTATGGAAGCAAACCAGATATTTTCACCATTGAATGCACTTTTGTGATGTTTTGTCCCTACTAGCTTAATTACAGTCCATACATTCCACATAGAATTTTTCTATCATCCCTCTCCCTTACACATATTAACCACACGTTTTTCTGAAAAGGAACAGAACTTACACATTTCTGTGCAACCCCATGAAAGAAGAGGAAGGGACCAGAAATAGAATTTGATGGATTTAAACCATAAAAAATGAAGATTTCCCAGACTGACATGATGTACTTATTTGAGTGTTACCTTTCCCTCACTTCTAACCAACAAGTTATCACATACTATTGTTACAAACAAAAAGCAATCAGTTTTGTATGTCCTTATGATGACTTCAGTCATATTCCTACTCAAACAATTTCATAAGTTGTGTTTTGTCACTGGAAGTGTCAGCGTCAATAGCCGCATTACATAGTTTATAGTTTATAATTTATTTTGTTAATATAAATTAAGATAAATGAAAATTAGATTAAGTCAACTACATAGAATTATTTTAAATTAGCAAAGCTATAGAAATTGTATTTCTGTTTCAGTGGTCTTGCTGACCAACTATCAGTATTGTGGTTTCTACTTCTGAATTACAGTCTAAATTAACTTTGATCTTCAGTTACTACTTCTCAAGATGGAATAATATATCTTTGTGGAAAATAGACTCAAATTTTTTAAAAATTAAAATATACCTTTTTTCTACAATCAGGCATTTCCAGCAATCTTAATGATCAATTTGGGATTTTATGCATTGAACTAGTTTGAATTTGTATCTGTGGACTTGATGAAGAAAGGCCAAAATTGCCTTGTTGTGGCTCATTTCACTGCTGTTATAAAGACACTGAGTTTTTATATTTAAAAATCATGTATCATTTAATAGATGTGAACTGTACACCTGTCATATGAAAAGACCAGCTTTAATTTATGTCTTTTTCTTTTGGGACAAGATTTCAGAAACCCTTTCATCAAAGGAATTTCTTGAAAATGCTTACGTACTAGCAGTTCTTCTTTTCTTGGCCCTTATCCTGCAAAGGACATTTTTGCAGGCTTCCTACTATGTAACCATAGAGACTGGCATTAACCTCCGTGGAGCTCTGCTGGTATGTACAAACTTAGAATGATCTTTGTTTTTTGAAAATGCCTATATACCATCTGATGATAGAAGGGTAGTGGAGTCAATTTTATTTTTCATTCTGTTTTTACTTTGATACTACAACTCCAACACTTCTAAGAGCTGTTTAATTAAAAAAACAGAGCTAATTAGTAAACCCACTGAATTTTTAAAACCTTTTGTAATAGTAAGAAAACTTTTGGGGCACCTGAGTGGCTCAATTGATTAAGCATCTGACTCTTTAACCTCAGCTCAGGTCTTGATCTCAGGGTCGTGAGTTCAAGCCCTGGGTTGGGCTCCATGCTGGGTGTGGAGCCTACTGGAAAAAAAAAAAAAAAGAAAACTTTTGAAAACTTTCTTTAATTTATCTCTGTTTCAATTTGTTCTAGAGCTTATGTTTTAAATTGAATATGCATTTTGATTATATCGCAAGAAAATAAGTTTGTATGTAATTGAGGACTGAAAGTATGCTAAAATGAAGATAGTGGTTGACTTAAGAAGATGGCATTCTAGGTCTTTTCCCTGCTTTTTCCCCAGGAAAATTTAAAATGTTATCTTTTCAATAAAAGTGAATAAACAGTGTTGATTAAGTTTAGAGCTTCAAGTACTTTTTTTGTTTTTATGTTTTGCAGGCCATGATATACAATAAAATCCTTAGGCTGTCTACATCTAATTTATCCATGGGTGAGATGACCCTGGGACAGATCAATAACTTGGTTGCCATTGAAACCAATCAACTCATGTGGTTCTTGTTCCTGTGTCCCAATCTATGGGCAATGCCTGTTCAGGTAGATCAATATAAGTAATATTCTCATTTGCAGAGGAAACAAAACAAAAGGAGTATAAGGTATTTAGCTCAGTAAAGGGCAAACTTTTTGAATATGCTGATATTATACTGTTTTTATAGAGAAGAAAGCAGAGTCTCAGAAAAGCTCTGACATAGGTTAAGAAAGTGGGGTTTGGAATTCTACTGCTTAGGTTCAAATATCTGCCCTACCCTGTTTGCACGAGTGTTTAAATCCTCAAAACATTCGTTTCCTCAACTTTAAAATGGGCATGGTAATAGTAACTGCCTCGTAGAATTGTTAGAATTGTCAAGACTAAGTAAGTTAATATGTGTAGCACATTCAGCATAATGCTTAGCATTTCATGGGCATCTAGTATTTGTTAGTTGTTACTGTTATTGACCAAATTCAGTCAAGTCACAGAGCCAAGGCTTGACCCCTTTCATTTTGACAGACTCTCTTATAGCATTTCTAAAGCAGAACAATTGCTGTAATCCATCCCATAGTTTCAATAGCTGATGTATTATAAAATGTCAAACTTTATTAGGTGGTAGGAACACTAACAAGCTGGATGGCAATTTAACTATTTTTTTTTAATGGAAAATAGCATTTTAGCAAAGATGCAGTTTTTCCCCCCTAATTGGGTAAAAATAGCAAAAGAAATGTTTTCAGTTCTTTCTTCTGTGTGATGCTGAATATTTTTAGTTACCTCGAGTTTGCGTCCTATAGATAGAGCTTAAACTGTAGATCTTATTCGGTCCAGTCTGTCACCTTTGTCCCTGTGTGCCACGTTTATTAAAATGCGTACAATAATACAGAAGATATGGTAGTTTTAAGATGTGTTTGCCTTTTTAGTTTTAAATGGAAATCCAAGTCAAATAAAAGTGTATATCATGCACAGTGCATGACACAAGGAAAGATTTAAAATATGCTTGGTCTCATTTTATCAATATGTACTTATATACAGGTCAAGTAGGTGGCTGCCTACGTGATATAATTTAAAATGCACCAAAAATCCCAGGCTGCCTCTGAATGACTGCATCGTGAGTGACATTAAGGAAACTTTCATTTTGATTGGAATCCCTCAAAAGCCTAATTGGCTAGGCAGTAAATATGTGCACTTGCCTCCAAAAGGCCACTGTTAAGCTGTTATCATTGGCAAACACACAAGGATTAAACGCTTTAACTACATGGATATAGTTCATTAGCTGACATTTTTAGCCATGATAAACTGAGCTACTAGAGGAAAAAAAGTAGGGAGAGAAGATTGTGGGGTCAAATCTTAAGTTTTTAAAGGAAGAAGAAGAAAGTGACAAACCAGAGAGGGTTGGCTTATGTGGCTCAGCCCTGGGTTTGGGGAAATAAATTTAAAAAGGGAAGTGAGGTGTAATGGGGCACCACCAACTTTAGCTTCCTCACAGTTTTAGTTAAGCTAAGCCTTCTTGTCGTCAAGTGACTTCTGGGGTCATTGAAGATGTGAGGAGCTCAGATTATTCCTTTAGCCTGCAAACAACCATCCAGTGCTCACTTGCATTATGATGCTGCCTCCTGCTTTCCATCCTTCCTGACTGGAAAAGCTAGTAGAATTCCATGACAATATGGAATGTCAGTGACAGTGGGTGATAACATTTTCAAGAAAAATTTCATGTCCTTTTAAAAATGTGAAGACTGTCTTAGAAGTTCAGAAGCTTCGGGGGACCAGTCTGTAGCCTCATGCAGTAAATTGGTTTGACACCTGTTGTACAGATCATCAGACTACAAATAAATTCCTATTACTTAGCTTTCTCCAAGTAAAACATAGGAAAACCCAACTGTTCTTAGTTGACTTCCAAATAAATGTGTTTATTAAGCAATTACTAATGAAGAAGTAGTACATTTCCACCAAAATATATTTCCTCTCATTGAGTGGCCCCCACACCCCTGTTCATTTTCCCTTTTCCGTATGTTTTCCTTTCTAGATCATAATGGGAGTGATTCTGCTCTATAATTTACTTGGATCAAGCGCATTGGTTGGTGCAGCCGTCATTGTACTCCTTGCGCCAATTCAGTACTTCATCGCTACAAAGTTGGCAGAGGCTCAGAAAAGCACTCTGGTAAGTTCACATCTTTTGGAAACTTGATTAGGAAAAATCTAGTAAGCTGTTTTATTTTTAAAATAATGGGAAATGAATACATACCACTCAGAATAATTTGGAAATTATCCTATTTCATTTCAATTCTTAGGCAGCAAATGTGTATTTTCTGTGTTGCAAAAAAAAAAAAACAAAAAACACACCACTACTTAAAAGTGGATTTGATGATCTTAGACTCAAAATACCGGAGGCACAATTCCTGATGTTTTTAAGTGCCATGAGGTGATAAGGCATTGGATCTTCTTCTAGATCACTTGTCTAGAGAATATACCTAAGTGTATTTTGAGTCCATTGGATGTTAATTATTGACATGGGATACATGGATCAAAGAACAAAGAAAGCATCAGTTTTGTTGCTTCTGAAGTTAAATTTCCCTCAAGTTGAATCAAACCATGTGATAATCTATGGAGTTATACTCAAGTATTTTAGTGGTAGCTGTTCTGGCTGAATATGTTCATGGTCAACTTGGCAAGTAAGAAAAAGCTTTTTTTGAGTAAGAATTGGCTTTATTTATTTATTTATTTATTTTAAAGATTTTATTTATTTGACAGAGAGAGCGCAAGGAGAGCGAGAGAGAGGGAGAAGGAGGCTCCCTGCTGAGCAAGGAGCCCGATGTGGGACTCGATCCCAGGACCCTGGGATCATGACCCAGGCCGAAGGCAGTTGCTTAACCGACTGAGCCATCCAGGTGTCCAAGAATTGGCTTCTTTTAAAGAAATATTTGCAAATAATAAAATTATTGACAGCATGTTTAGAAATAAAGTTTGATTAAATATGAGCAAAATGTTTGTAAATCAGGCATAAAATGTAGGGATGCTGCCACTGATGGAATTGTTCCCCAAGTCAGTTTCTGCTGCAACAAGCAAGTTGCCTGTCATGCGGGTGGTTTCCATCACTTGTTTTTCTGCTGCTCCAGGTGAGGCTACTCATTATCTTTTGTCTGAGCCATCTACCCCTCTTCAGGACGTGAATACAGAGAGGTGAGGAAGAGGGGCATAAAGTGGAGACATGACTATCCTCAAACATGTGTCTTTCATTGAGCTCACCATACTGTATTCATTTACTCATGCAACAATCATTTGATAGGCATCTAAGACCCTGTAGAGACCAGAAGATGAATAAAAACCAAGCCATTTGCTACTTTTGCTTCCTCCTCTCTGCCTTTTGGCCACTTGCACTGCTCCTTTTGATAGTTCATAGGTCTTAATGTAACTTACTGATATTCTAATATCAGGTGGTGGAATTTGCAGCAGTTGAGTAAATTGTGGCTTTTGTAAAAATCTTTTTACAGTTAATCCAAATTCTTAGTAATTAGTAAATCTAATTTAGGCCTTAAACAAGAGCGTATGAAGAAGTATGTAGAAATCTCTTGAAGTTAAAGGTAATAGGCTTGGTTTCAATAAGTGTATTATGAAGACACAATATGAACACACGCAATATGAACATACAACAACCCTCACATTCCCAAATAAGAAGCAAACTGACTTTTCTTGCATTCATTGTTTTCTCTTCTAAGTATGAGTGATAGTGCTGAGGAGAAAATAAAATGAGTTAGATGTTAGGAGGAGCCACTGGAAGTCTCTGTATCATTTCCCTAAATGTCTATATACACTATCTGCAGACATTATTCAAGGAAATCGTGAAACTTTAAGAAACTGCTTTTATTTAACCTAAAGCAACAGAAGCATAAGAGTTTTTAGGTGGAAAGATATTTGAGGCCGTTTCATTCAACTCTTCATTTTAGAGTTGGAGGTGGAAGCACAGAGAGTTTGCCTTCTTCCCCCCTCCCCCCCTGCCCCCACCCCCAAGGGATCTCAAAGCCACAATCAGTGGCAGGGCCGGGCAGAAATCAAGGTCTGGTCCATCCCTGTCTGATATATATATATATAGTCCTGCCTCTTTGATTCGCTTGGATGCTGCGTGCATTGTTTTTTTATTTTTGTTTTATAGGATTATTCTACTGAGAGACTGAAGAAAACAAATGAAATATTGAAAGGCATCAAACTTCTGAAGTTATATGCCTGGGAGCACATCTTTTGCAAAAGTGTAGAAGAAACAAGAATGAAAGAACTATCCAGTCTCAAAACCTTTGCACTTTATACATCACTCTCCAGTAAGTTGCCATTGCTCTAAGGACCACCAAAAAAACATGTGGCCTATTCACTTTAGTTTGTGATCCCTGAAACATTCTACTCATCTGAAGAAGCCCATTCATTTTCTACATATGTGCTGCCCAATAGCCATTAGCCACATGAGCCTATTTAAATTTAAATTAAAGAGCAGGGTTAGTGTAGGCTTAGAATCAGGTAGACCTAATTTGTTTCCTTTTAAGATGTGTGCTTTTGTCATGTTACTTTGCATCTGAAATCCTTGGTTTCTTCATCTGTAAAATGGGGATGGTGATGAGCATAGTACCTGTAATTGAAACCACTGCGTTTCACCAATTACCACTGGGATGAATAGTGGGTTTTCAGTAAAATTTCAGTAAAAATTTGTTTACTTAAGTTGATCTGACTGTAGTATTATTGACCTTCTTATCCCCAAAGATCCTCAAAAGTTATCTGTAGTTGTCTACCTGTCTCTCTGGGAGCTTATGATATTATATTTTCTTGAAGATTATACTTAAAATGCTATTTTTGAAAATTGAGAAGAAGAAATGTCAACACTTCTGTGTGAAAGAAGTCAAGTTTCATTCACATAAAACTCTCATTTCCAATACATTTTCAAGAACTTTTAAATATGGAGCACTTTTATCTTCAATTCTAATTTTTATAAAGCAACTGTTAAAAAAATTGTTGTTTTTCCCTCAGAGTGACACTGAATACTCTCAAGAATAATTAAGTTTATGTTAGTACAATTCTTACAGACTTAGCCACACTACTCCCACTAATATTTGATTTGGTTTGTGTGTCAGTTTTGCCTATCTCTATTGTTCCCAAGACTGAACAAATTAAAATTCTGGAGGTTAATATATTGTTTCCTCTTGAATTCTAAACTACTTTAGTCCTTAGAGATTATAAATACTTGTTTGTTAAATTTAGAGAAAATATTTGGTTTGTATAGCTCATTTATTCTAGCCTTGATGCCTGATGCATTAGAAATGAAATAGGAAGGAGATTTATCTTCCAGCTCTGCACCACTGCTAATATGGTGTCAAAATGCTAGAAGATGGAATGATTGATATCCAATTATTTATGTAATAGTACTCTAATCTGGTGACCCTGACAGAGGAATGTATATTTCTCTCTGCAGTGGACTGAAATACTCAAGAGAAGGATGGATGCTGCCAGAAATAATGACAATAAAAATATATTGAGCCACTCAGCCAATTATTGCCATAAGTGGCTTTACACATATCATCCCGTTTAATCCTCCCAACATCTCAATGATTTAGATTCTACTATTAATTCCATTTTAGATATTAAAAGACTGAGGTGGAGAGAGAGCTTAAGTAACTTGAACTTCCCTTGAATCATCCACCTACTAAATGGCAGAGGTGTGTTGTTAATCCAGTTTGTCCATCTACAGACATGAAATTTGGGTTGGTTTTTGAAAGTCAGATATAGGGCACCGGGTGGCTCAGTTGGTTAAGCGACTGCCTTCGGCTCAGGTCATGATCCTGGAGTCCCAGGATCGAGTCCCACATTGGGCTCCCTGCTCAGCAGGGAATCTGCTTCTCCCTCTGACCCTCTTCCCTCTCATGCTCTCTGTCTCTCATTCTCTCTCTCTCAAATAAATAAATAAAATCTTTAAAAAAAAAAGAAAGTCAGATATAAAAGAGAGGACAGAGGAGGCCATAATAAGGGAGAAAAACGAGAAATCATGAAGGTAAAAATACAGAGTCCTGTGTTTATGATAGGCAGCAGGAATTCTTGAGTCAATGGTATAAAATTCCCAGCTGGATCACTTGTAAGATTTATGATAGGGTTATGTACAGTGTTCTTAGTGATTAAGAGCTTGAACTATGGGAGTTGCATAGAGCTGGCTATAAATCCCAGCTCTGCCCCTTTTTGGCAGTGTGGCCTTGACCAAGTTACTTATATCCTCCAAGCCCCAATTTCTTCATCTGTAACATGAGGTGATAATAATGTCTACCATGTAGGACTGTAGTAAAGATTAAAATAATGAATGATACAAATGTTGATTGGATTGTTGATTCTATTCCAGGCACGATGTCAAGTGCTTTGTACACATTATCTCATATAAAGCACCTGGCAAATGGTTTCGTGCCCACTAACCTCCATCCGTCAGTTTCCTCATCTAAAAATTAGTGTAATAATAAATCATTATCACAGGTATATTGTGAGAATCAAATGAGGCAGTGAATGTGACACTGTTCAGTAACTGTTAAAAATATTTCATAAATAAGGGCACCTGGCTGGCTCAGTCGGTTAAGTGTCTGACTCTTGATCTCAGCTCAGGTCTTAAGTTCAGTGTCGTGAGTTCAAGCACTGCATTGGACTGCATGCTGGGCATGGAACCTACTTTAAAAATATATATATTTAAAATATTATAATATATTAATATATATATTTTATAAATAGTATTTGTAGAGCACCACAAGAAAATAAAAAATAATGAAAGGAAAAAGTCAGCTGTATAACAGAGTGGTTACTATTCGGTCTTAGAGGGTAAGCTGACCTGAAATGATATCCTGTCTCAGCAACTTGTCAGCTCTACAGCCGTGGTTAGTATTTGGAGGAGTTTCAGTTTTCTCATCAGGAAGCTGGGAAGTATTAAGAGTGTCTTTGGGAATTAAATAAGATAATGTGTGTAAAGTGTTTAGAAAAGTACCTGAAACATAAAAGTACTCAATCAGTGGTATCTGAAAATATTGAAAAGCAAAGTGAAACAGGACACTTACTAGTAGAACTGAAGATTCATCTCTGCTTTTATGAATCAGTGTTCTTGCCAGTTGAGATAATATCTGGGGGGAAGAGAAATTCTATTAATTTCCTAGTTTCCGTTACTAAATGGTCCTGTGCTATTTATGGATTTAATCCATTGGTAAAAGGCAAAAAGACAGTACTGTATTTTTTTTCTCTTCACTTTGATAGAGTCTTATATGGAGAAGTGAAAAGAACATACAGCTTTTAAAAAAATATATTTATTTATTTATTTGAGAGAGAGAGAGACGGAGAGAGAGCACAAGCAGGGGGAGGGGCAGAGGGAAAGAGAAGCAGACTCCCCACTGAGCAGGGAGGCCAATGCGGAGCTCCATCCCAGGACCCCGGGATCATGACCTGAGCCGAAGGCAGACGCTTAACCGACTGAGCCACCCAGGCACCCCAAGAACATACAGCTTTAAGACCAGAAAGATCCGGATTTAAATCCAAGCTCTATCACTTCTTAGTTTGGAATCTTGCATGTTATCCTTCCTAAGCTGCTTCCTCATTATTGTGTAGGGTAGTTATGGTCATTAAATATGAGAATGTATGTAAAGCACTCTTATCATACCTCAATGCTTGTGACATGTTAGTGCAGAGCAAGGTGGTGGTGAGCAGTCTGAGAGGCCCAACTGCATTGGTTTGAATCCCAGCTGTGTGACCTGAAGCTTCTCATTCTCATCTTTGTAATGGGATAGGAAGAGTACCTGCTACATGTACCTGGTGCAGATTGCTGTATAAATGGTTTTCAATCAAATAGCAGTTATTCTTGGCCTTCCTCATCAAGGGGATATTACCTATTCAAAGGCATGGACTATGAAATGAATGATAAATAATGATGAGGGGAAAAGAAAGAAATACACTTAAAGAACAGGGTGACAATAGCCAGAGAAAGAAGATGAAGGCAGAAACGTAGCTCCTCATCTGTGCTGTTATGAAACTCAGGGCAGTGTTTGGATTCTCAATCTTGTACAAGAATTCAGATTTGATAACCAAGCCACATCTGGACCTGCAAAAGCACAATCCGATTTTGTGTACAGTGGTCATGAGGACTGATGTTGATTTTTGGTTGGATTCACTCCTGCATGTCAAGAAAAGCAGGTTCTAGCTTTCACTCTGTTACCAGTTCACTTGCTCTTTTACTCCTCAGTCCCTAGAATTCTATGGTTTATGAAAAATATAACTACAAATCATCAACTTGGCTTTTTAGTTTTACTATGACCTCCAAATGCTAGCATTTTAGCCTAAAAAATGAGTTTTCCTTGTTTCAGTTATACATATCATGCTCATCAAATATGAGTGCAATATGTTCCTGAAGAGACATTCAAACAAGCAGAGGGTTTAAGAGATGGAGTTATTTTGTTAAGCAAAAGGTCTGTAACTGAAAATAATATCACTTTTGGAAGGAGAACTTGAAGTGATGTCAAATTCTTGTTTTTATGCTGCATAATAACTCAGTTTTCATATATTTAAGTTAGCTTAGTGGACCAAGTGAAATATAGACTGGAAATACTCTCAAGAAGGCACATTTGGTTGGATTCTAATTATTTATATCATTAAAGGAATATTTCATCTGAATTTTGCAGTTTGTAACAGTTCATAAAAAATAGTTTTTCCATAAGAAATAATATTTTCTGGGGCTCCCGGGTGGCTCAGTCGATTGAGCATCTGCCTTTGGCTCAGGTCATGATCCCAGAGTCGTGGGATTGAGCCCCGCATTGGGCTCCCTGCTGCAGGGAGTCTGCTTCTCCCTCTACCCCTCACACTGTTCATGCTCACTCTCTCTCTCTCTCACGCTCTCTAGCTCTAAAATAAATAACTAAAATCTTAAAAAAAACATGTTTAAAAAATATTTTTGGATTCAGACTAATGTAGGGGAACTCATACGACTTTAAACAAGGAAATACCAACAGGGCAATGTTTGTGGACTCCGGACAAAATGTTATTTAATGCACTTGGTTCTCTCTGTCTTTAAGGGAAGTTAAAGTAATAATAGATGATTAATTAAAGTTACTGAAAATGTTTCACAGTTCAATGAACATAATGTATTTGATTTCTTTCCACAGTCTTCATGAACGCAGCAATTCCCATAGCAGCTGTTCTTGCTGTAAGAAACTTTCTCTTGCTTTTAGAAATGGAACTAAGTCAGTGTTTAGAAATGATTTATGAGCAAGAATGTGTGGGTGGTAGTATATATTACTTCACCTCTGCCAGTTTTCTCTTGCAGTCCCCATTGTAATAGTCCTAATCCAGGGTTTCTCCACAGTGACACTATAGACTTTTGGGCCCAGATAATTCTGTGTTGGTAGGGCCTTTTCTTTGCATGAGGATGTGTAGCAGCATCCCGGGCTTCTACCTATTAGATGTCACTAGCACTCCCCAGACATTGCCAAGTGTGCCCTGGGAGCAAAATGAGTAGTAGTTGGGAACTAACTGTTGTAAGCTTCATGACCTGGTTCTCAGACATTCTTACATCAATATAGTGCTAGATCAACAACCAGAAAAGTACATTACATTTCAAACTAAAATGACAAACTAGGATTACATTTAGAAACATAAATAAGTCTGCATCAAACACTAATGTTGGCAAATTTAGTAAAGATCCACAATAGGGACACTAAAACAATGGAACATCTTTTTCTCTTAGAAAATTTAGTATTGGTTGGAAAGAACCTGGTTGGTTGTTAAGAACTCTGGGTTCACTTCACATTTATCCCCCCTACTCAGTAATTTGACAGAAGTCCATTTCTTATCTGTAAATAGAATCTGCTCTGCCCTTCTCACAAGTTCACTGCTAGGATGGTATATAAACCATTAAGGACTATCAATAAGAAGTTTTTTTGTTAGGGAGTAATTTGGGTGAAGTAATTGTTTTCAGAGTTGGGATGGACGTACTGGCATAGTGGAATAGGTTAGGTTTGTAAAGTTGAATGTAAGCATTTGTGAAATTTTCTCCAGCTTGCTCTAAAGAACTTCTCTCTTTGTGCAGACATTCGTGACCCATGCGTATGCTAGCGGGAACAATCTAAAACCTGCAGAGGCCTTTGCTTCCCTGTCTCTCTTTCATATCCTGGTCACCCCGCTGTTCCTGCTCTCCACAGTGGTCAGATTTGCAGTCAAAGCCATCATAAGGTATGCCCTGGAATGTCTGGAATTCTTTGCTTGATTATAGAAATAATATATGCTGGTGGTAGTCAATTTGAAAAAGTATAAAAGAGAACATTCAAATCGCTGCCCAGGATAACCGTTGTTAAAATTTGAATATGCTACTTTTCAGTCTTTCACAATTATTTTTAAATGAAAATAACTATTATTCTGAAATAAAAATTTTGAGTTTATGTAGCTTTTGACTCCTTATTTCACTTTTTATTTTTATTTTTTCCCCTCATTAAGATCAGGATGTTTATTGGCTATGCAATAGTCCATAGTTTTGAAGTACTGTAACTTAATTTAATGATTCCCTCCTTATTGGGGACTTAGAGTTTTTCTACTTTCTACCCAACATAAATAACATTGATATAAACATCTTTTTATATCTTTAAACTTTTCTCTTATTATTTTCTTAAGACAGATTTCTGGAAGTAGGGATACTAGTTCTAACAGTATCCACATTTAAAAAATTTTATTAAGTTTTTTATTTTAACTCAAGTATAGTTAACATACAGTGTTATATTAGTTTCAGGTATAAAATACAATGATCCAACAATTCCATACATTACTCAGTGCTAACCAAGATAAGTGTACTCTCAACCCCTTTCACCTATCTCATCCATCCCCCCCACCCATCTCCTCTCAGGTAACTATCAATTTGTTTTCTAGAGTTAAGAGTGTTTCTTGGTTTGTCTCTTATTTCCCCCTTTGTTCGTTTGTTTTGTTTCCTAAATTGCACATGTGAGTGAAATTATATGGTATTTATCTTTCTGTGACTGACTTATTTCACTTAGCATTATACTCTTGAGCTCCAACCATGTTGTTGCAGATGGCAAGATTTCATTCTTTTCAATGGCTGAGTACTATTCTAGTGTGTGTGTGTGTGTGTGTGTGTGTGTGTGTGTATCTTTATCTTCTTTATCGATTCATCTGTCGATGGATACTTGGGTTGCTTACATCATTTGGCTATTATAAATAATGCTGCAATAAACATAGGGGCACATATATTTTTTCAAATTAGTGTTTTTGCATTCTTTGGGTAAATACCCAGTAGTGGGATTACTGGATTGTAGGGTAGTTCTATTTTTAATTTTTTGAGGAACCTCCATACTGTCTTCCACAATGGCTGCACCAGTTTGCATTTCCACCAACAGTGTATGAAGATTCCTTTTTCTCCACATCCTGGCCAACACTTGTTGTTTCTTGTGTTTTTGATCTTAGCCATTCTGACAGGTATAAGGTGATATCGCATTGTAGTTTTGATTCGCATTTCCTTGATGATGAGTGACGTTGAGCATCTTTTCATGTGTCTGTTTGGCCATCTGTAGGTTTTCTTTGGTGAATTGTCGTTTTCTTTGGTGAATTGTCTATTCATGTCTTCTGTCCATTTCTTAATTAGATTATTTGGGGTTTTTTTGGTGCTCAATTGTATGAATGGTACACACATTTTTAAGGTTCTTTTTTTTTTTCCTCCTGGGATTACCTCTTTTTTTAAAATTTTATTATGTTATGTTAATAACCATACATTACATCATTAGTTTTTGATGTAGTGTTCCATGATTCATTTTTTTAAAGATTTTATTTATTTATTTGAGAGAGAGAGAGAATGAGAGACAGCATGAGAGGGAGGAGGGTCAGAGGGAGAAGCAGACTCCCTGCTGAGCAGGGAGCCTGATGTGGGACTCGATCCCGGGACTCCAGGATCATGACCTGAGCCGAAGGCAGTCGCTTAACTAACTGAGCCACCCACGTGCCCCTTCCATGATTCATTTTTAAGGTTCCTAATGAATATTGCTATGTTGCTTTTAAAGAGTGGTAGGTCAAAATTTGTACACATTTTAAAAAATTTTTTAAAGATTTTATTTATTTGAGAGAGAAAGTGAGAGAGAGGGAGAGGGAGAGAGAATCTGAAACAGACTCTGCACTGAGTGCAGAGCCCTATGTGGGGCTTGGTCCCATGACTGCAAGATCACGACATGAGCCGAAACCAAGAGTCGGACACCTAATGACTGAGCCACCCAGGCTCCCCCATTTTTAAGATTTTTTTAAATGAAAATGGCCATAATATTTTCCAGTAAAGCTGTGTCAGTTTATCTTTGCAGTTATAGTGATGGGCAATGTTCCCATCAACACATATTTACTGTTTTAATGTTAATTTAACTGGGAAAAAATTTAAGTAAGGCTCATGGCTTCTGCCAATGGAAAGACTTTGCAAAACCCCTCCACATTTTGCTCATTTTAAATATGCTTCTCTCGTTTTTTTAACCAGTGTATTTTTTGTCTCAGACTTATAGATTCCTACAATGCACAACAATAAAAATAGATGTGATATGATAATGACCATTTTCCCACCACTTTTCTTGCATTATATAAATAACTATGCTACCAAAATTTATTATACTATATTATATAATGCTGTATGTGCCACAGTCTACTGTGTCTGATACTCTATTATGAACAGGGAAGTCTTCAAGTAGTATTTCGCTTATGCTATAAGATCTCATAAACTTCATAAAACCCCAGCATGTTTCATAAGCAGTCATTATCACACCTGGCCTTTGAAAGAAATGTTAAGATGTTACAATACTAAGGAAAACTGGAAAACAGAAGCCTTAAATACATGAAGCCTGGTGTTGCCACTGATAGCAATGTTGAACATTTTTTTGTAAGGGCTTTTATTTTTTTTAATTAATTAATTAATTTTTCTTGTAAGGTCTTTTAAAATGAGATAGTTTTCCCAATGGCTATGTGTTATGAAGAAAACTAGTATTTGGCATTTAAAATACCAGAATCTTCAGTTTTGGACAATTATTTATACTGGTTTAACAATAGCTCAGTCCCAAACAACAGGAAGATGCATGTGCATTATCTTACTATAAACTGAAGTTCTGATTGGTTATAATAGTATCACAAAATGATTTTGTTAGGAAGGAGTTAGTGGCTCCTTCATAAGATCTTTATTATGTGATTACATAACCTGTTCTGTAGGTTATGTCATGGGTAACCAATTCTGGAGCTGTTAGAGTTTAAGGGTCAGACTCTCTGGCCTCGTCTGCCTCCTTTGCTTTTCTTACTGTTCTGCCTCTTGAAACAGTTGTACAGAACACGGACTGATTTTCATAGCGCCACTTCCAAATTAGGCAGTGCTCTGGAAGGGAAGCTACTTCAAACAATAAAATTGATGAATGGCCAAAGTCTGCTATTTTGGTCCTTAGTTTCATTTTCTCCATTTCATAGCTGTCCCTCTCATGGTTTCATTTTTAATTGGAATTTGACTTTGTATCTTAAGTGGGGATAAAAAACACTTAGTTGATGACTTATAACAAATAACTTCTCTGAAATCAGGGGGTTACCAAGCATCAGAAGGACTTAAAAAGTTTACGTGAAAAAGAAAAAAAAAAACCCACCAAAAAACCTAGGCGTGCCCTCCCACTCCATAGTGTACAATCCTGCTGCAATAAATGCTGGTGAAGTTGAGAGTGGATAATATTCACTGTATATTTCTGCATAGCACTCTTTTTTCTTTACGTTTCAGGGAAAGGCATTTGCCAGTTTGATAAAGACCAGTCTGTTTTCAGGGCTCAGCTCCCGATTTCCCAAGCCATAGGCTGAATAGAATCAGCTTATAAAAACTTGCTTCTCTAAAATGAGTCTGAGTGGTTGATCTGTGGGTCCTACAGAGATGACTGGTCAACAGAGGAGCTAGGCCTTTTCCCCACCGGGTGCTGATTCTACCCAAATGAGCTTTTTCCCAGTATTGACTGGGTTTGGCATTTCCTTCTGTGCCTGGGAACCCGTGACAGGTCTTTGATGCCAGTTGGCCCACAACGAGCGGAGCAGCCTGTTTATAATCGGAGATTTTGGTGAGCTGATTTTGAAACCTCTTCTTCAGGACCGTGGAAGTCATAAGTTCTTTGCTTCAGAGATTTGGTGGGCTAGAAGGGGGTGCAATATACTCCCAAACTTGCGTTACACATGCCTGTAAGAGACTTACAAACTTTTCTAATGTAGGAAAATTCCATGCCATGTAAAATTCTTTCCTACATGAAAATTCTATACTTTCTTTTAAAAATGTTTAGTTTGTTAGCCAAAATGGTCTTCATGGGGCTCAATGGGCAGGACCCCATGTATACATAATAAAAGGGAAGAAAGAGGCAGATATGATTCAGGATATCTTCTTACAACCCTACATTCCACACCGTTTGAGTTTTCTGGACATTTCATGTATCGTATTCCAGTCTACATTTGCAAAAACGGAGTCACGAAATGAGGAGAAGTAGGAAAAGTCACTATTATCTAAAATATTAAAATACAGAGTAAGAGTGATTTTCCAAGATGCTTGCCTCATTTTCCCACTTTGCTTTATTTGTAAGGAAATAATATATGTGTTTTTGCTTTTCTGGAGGAGGATATAAATTGCTATGTTGTATTCTTATATAAATAATTTCAGTGAAGGTTTCTGGTATTTGATGTATAATGCAATATCTATGTCCAAAGATGTTATTTGCCAAGAGTAAAATGTGTAAAACCAATCCTTTGCTTTGTTGGAAAATAACTTTTTATCCTTTCTCTCATATACCTCCCAAAGGAACGTATGCTTGGCTAGTCCAGGACAGTTACCTTTGATCAAATAAATTGTTATTGATATTTATCACAGAGCATGAGTAGTTCAACCTCTGGTCCCTGTTTACAAAAATGTTATAGTTCTTATAAGAAAAGCACATAACTGCCAGCAACAAAGTCACTTATTCCCAATTAACATAATAGCACCTGTCCAAGGTACTCAAGCTTTATCTAAACACCCAAAGTGAAACTTGAAAAGTGAAAAAATAGCATGTGTAGCTAAAACCTTCAAGACTGGTGTGAATTATCCAAACACACGAGAAAATAGTAAAACACTGACCAAAAAGATGGTGGAGGCAGGCTAGGAAATTGGTTGGTATCAAATACATCTGCTGTCAAATCCTAGTATGGCCTTAGAGTACTCATTGTTCAACCTCCAGCACGTCATTTTGTGTCTCTATAGCTCAGCTTCCTCACTTACTAAATGAGCATAATAATAGCTCCTGCTTATGGCGATTGAAACAATTAAATGAGAGAGTATATGAACAGTGCCTGGCACATTGCCTAAATATTTTAGATACTTTACCAATTTCCATTTTACTAATTTACTCCCATTTTATTAATCTCCATTCTGTGCTTCAGAGAGATATCTTCTGTGGGTCTACATTCACTTGTTAATACTTTGGGTACATTACAAAGTATTAAGAATTGCAAAGATGAAAGGAAGAATGAAATCCACAGGGAACCGGCAGTCTAGTTGGAGAGACCGGGAGGGGAAACTAAGTACAATATGGTGTGTTAAGTTATTTACAGAGCTCTACACAGAATACAATAGGCCCATATATGAGGGTCACTGAAGCTCATTGAGTGAAAAGGCGGACAGTCTGGTCAGTGAAGATTTAAAAGAGTTAGTGGCTCCTTCATAAGATCTTAAAAAGTAGGTAGGACTCGGTCAGTTGAAGAAAAAGGGAAACCATTTTGAAGCCGAGAGCAATGTATTCAGGGGGGAAAGGGTGAGTAAGTAGGTGAGAGATCTTGGTACATTTAGGGGACTAAACATAGTTGAGTGTAATTGGTGACAGGTTCTGATGTGGAAAGTGGAAGGAGATGAAGCTGGAGAGTAAAATCCTGAGCAGCCTGGAAATGATGCTAAGGATGCGGAAGGCAAAAGGGTGCCATTTTTTATTTTAAGGAGAGGAATGCTGCATAAACAGATTTGGATTTTTAATATATAACCCTGGCAGCATGGTGGAAATTACTTCACCCTTGGTCAGGATTCATGCATTTTCCATAATTGCTTTGCCTCAGTGATTTCTGAAAGGACCTCATATGAATAGGAAATGCTTTTTGTATTACCCATTTATTCATTCACCAGACATTTCTTGAGAAATTACTATGTTGTATTTTTGACATTGGGCTAGATTCTGAAGATGAAAATCTTTGTTCTTAAGGAGTTCACAGTGTAATGGGAGAGATAGTAAAAAAATGACAAAATAGCAGTGCAAGGGACCCTCAGCCTAAAATGATGAGGGCAGGGGAAGAGAAAGGAAGAGGAGGTTCAGGGAAGTATTCATCTTGAGGTCCTCCAATAGTCCTTGTAATTGGAGTTCCAAAGTGGGATGTTATAGAGAGGAAAAAAAGTTCTCTCTATGCCCCTGTTATGCTCAGAGACCATTGCTTCCTGATGTTTAGCAAGAATGGGGCTCATTAATTCCATAAAAGCTTCAGTAAGATCTGTGTGTGTATTAGAAAAGTGAAATGGAGAATTGAATCAACTGACTTTATATTTAAATGTCTGAGTCATTGGTTTATTCCTTCTTTGATTTATTCAGCAAACATTCATTGAGTAATATGTGCCAGGAGCAGCTAGATATAGAGTTAGAAAGGCAAAAGAGCCTGACTCCTGGACTTTGTGTGCAAAGACATAGTATGAGATTGTTTAAAAGGTATTCCTTAGGATGGCAAAGCTGTGTTCCTTAAAATCCGCTCTTCAAAATATAAGAACAGAATGACAGCTAAAATCTACAAAGGTAAAGAAGATCTTTCACTACTACTTTTGAGGTAGATCTTAGACGTTCCTATTCCAAGAAAAACAATTCTAACTATGGTAACAATGTTAGCTAGACCTATTGTGCTGATCAGATTGCAATATATACAAATACTGAATCATTATGTTATACACCTGAAACTAAATATGTCAATTATACCTCAATTTGGAGCACTGGGTGTTATACGCAAACAACGAATCATGGAACACTACATCAAAAACTAATGATGTAATGTATGGTGATTAACATAATAAAATAAAATTTAAAAAAGCAAAGAATAAATACCTGTCATTTAAGATAAATAAATGGCCATTTCATAAGGCATTTCTAATGTTGGCTTTCCAGTCTATATGGTCAGTATTTGCTGACAAAGACTCAAAGAAAGTACACAAACTGAAGCTTTTCTTTCTTTCTTTCTTTCTTTCTTTCTTTCTTTCTTTCTTTCTTTCTTTCTTTCTTTCTTTCTTTCTTTTTTTTTGGAGTCTGAAATTCTTTTTTAAATAGCAGTAAAACATACATAACATAAAATTTGCCATTTAAGCCATTTTATGTGTATAGTTCAGACACATTAAGTACATACACATTGTTGTGCAACCATCACCACAATCCATTCTGGAACCTCTTCATCTCCTCAAATTAGAATCTATATTCATTAAACAATAAAAATTGCCTCTCCTCCCAGCCCCTGGAAACCACCACTGGCTTTCAGTCTCTATGAATTTGACTCTTCTAGGTACCTCATGTAGGTAGACTCGTATGCTATTTGGGGGGGGGCGGTTTGTGCCTGGTTTATTTACTTAACATAATGTCTTCAAGGTTCATCCATGTTATAACTCTATTATATTGTATCAGGAATTGCAGAACGCTGGTGCAGGTCCTGTTGAAAACAGTATGGTGGTTCCTCAAAAAATTCAACATAGAATTAGCAATCGATGCAGCTGTTCCACTTCTGGATATATCCCCCCCAAAAAATTCAAAGCGGCAGGAACTTGGATAGATATTTGTATGCCCAGGTTCATAGCAGCATCATTCACAGTAGCCAAAAAGTGGAAACAACCCAAATGTCCATCAGTGGATGAATAAATAAATAAATAAAATGTAGTATATACATATGGAGTATTATTCAACCAAAACTCTTCTTAAACAATTATCTTTTTTAGTTCTCTGTAAATGCAGTTTGGAAGCTAATAATTAGAGTGCTGCAAGGGAATTTATTCACCTTTCTGTTTCCAATGAAAAGAAGCAGTTTCTATGGCATGCAAGGCCACCGGGCTTAAAGATTATAGGCAAAAGACCGAGTTACTACTTTTCTTCATTTTATTAGTCTGTCTCACACACACACACACACACACACACACACACACACACACTACAAACACATATGCACACACACAAAAAGCTTTGCAGACCTTTTTGGAGGCACTTAACTTGACTACAAGTTCAAATGAAAAAAAAATACAAAGAAATTTTTTGTTTCAAATCTTTATTTTCTAGTTTCCTACCACAGGCAATATATCCCCTGTGGTTGATGCTGCATGTGCCAATCTAGTTTGTTCACCTTCAGCATCCTAGGATGCTAAAAGGAGCATTTCTTTTGCAACGTCCTTTAACATGTTATTTTATTTATAGGAGGATGTTTTCAAATCATGTTGTTGTTTCCTTGGTTCTTTCTTTTTGCTCCTGATTCTACAATTGGTTTGAAAAAGTTAGAATAGGAGGGGTAGGTGGGCCAAGGAGTCTTGTGCCCTGCCCAAGGAGACCATAATAAAGGATGTTTGCAAACCACTCTTCTAGAGCCAGGCTTCTCAAACGGTAATGTGTTTATGAAGCATTTCTGGATCTTGTGAAAATGAATATTTTGACTTAGTAGGTCTTGGATGGGGCCTGAGAGTCTCTGGTAAGCTCCAGGTGACGCTGATGCTGTTGGTTCTTTGTCAACACCGAAGAGCAACTCTGTAGAGGCCCATCTTCTTGCCAGGTTCAGAAAATATGTGTAGTGTATAGTGCTTAAGCAAGATAGCAGAATGGTCATGGACCCCAGAGCTGTGTGTTATATGCTAAATGCTTTTAAGCAGGCTATTTAGCTTCTCTATAACTTATTTCCCCTCATTTGTAAAATTAGAATAATGGGTACTTCCCTCATTGGCATTATTATTTTTAACCACTCTGTTTCACATTCCTTCTCAAATCTACTGTCTTTGACAAGAGACATAATTGAAAAAAAAAGTGCAAAAAAATCTGGCTGCATTCAAGGGGTGACAAATTGTTCCTGGTGTTCCTAAGATGATTCTAGTTTTAGCACTGAAAGTCCCAGGTCCTGGGAGTCCATCATTCTTGGGCAATTTAGTTAGGATGCTTGTTCCTCAGAGCTGAATTCCCAGTTGGTCTTGAGAAATGACTCTCAGAGGTGGCTTGCTCAACATGATAATGAGTGAGGGAAATGCTTGTTTATTTTGGTAGAACTTCGTTGTTGGTGGTTTTATTCTTAACCCTTTTTTTGTTTGGTTGGTTTTTGCAGTGTTCAAAAGCTGAATGAGTTTCTCTTGAGTGATGAGATTGGTGAGGATAGCTGGCGAACTGGTGAAGGTTCTCTTCCTTTTGAGTCCTGTAAGAAACACACTGGAGTGGTAAGTGTTTTTTCTTATTATTGAAGCTGTGAATAGGTAACAGTCCCAATATTTGATGATTTTAAATGAGTGCAGTTAGAAGAAATTGTAAGCTCCACTTTTAACCTATATAAAAAATTGCCACCTGCTTCTACAACAAACTTCAATAGTCTAAAATTCATAAACAGTTGTATAAGGTTTGTCATTAGAAATCATCAAAGAATTATTCCAAGAGGGACAGCACATGTTCAATTGAAAAAAAAGTTAAAAGGTTGTCTGCCCCAAACTTTATACGAAAATAATGCTAACTAAGCTTAACAACTCCCACACCATATTCTTTTAATACCTTTTAGGGTATTATACTTTTTAGTTTAAAAAGTGCTTTTGATGCATTCTATCTTTTGATTCACTTAGTATAACATTATATCACCTTATTTTTATCTTCCAACTGAATATATTGAGTTTGTGTATTTTGTGGCTTGAATAAAGTCATAAACTTAGTAAGCAGCAGAGCCAGAATTAAAACCTGAGTCTTATGACTCCTGTTCCAGTTTATTCATCCATTACACAAATATTTACTCAATATCTACATACATCCTGGAAACATGTTCAGTATTATTTTGTCATGTATTACATGTAATATGACATGGACCATATATTTGCCTGTGTTTCTAGACTTATTGGCTACCCTGTACTTCAGGGTTATAGCTATGAACAAGGCAAACAAGCTCCTCTTTGTCACAGTTAGCTTTTTTAAGGCAGGAGTCAGATGATAAACAAGTTTAAAAAAGTGAGATAATTTCACTTTGGGAAGAAAATAAAATAGGGGTACGAGAGAGTGACTGGAACTGGTAGCTGGGTGATCATTTCCCAGAAAGGCCCCCTCTGAAGAGCTGGCATTTGGGCTGAGGCCTGAATGAAGAGTACATACCTGTTCAGCAAAGATTGGGGGAAGAAAGCATTTCAAGCAGAGAACCAGGAGATGCAAAGACCCTGAGGTGGGAATGAATTTGGTGTGCTTAAGGAACAGAGAAACACTTTGGTTGAAGCCTGGTGAAGAATGGAGAGATAAGACAGGGTAAGAACAAGGATTGAGGGTCGGATTGTATTGACAGGCAATAGGAAACCATAGGAGGGTTTTAAAGTAGGGACTAATAGAATTTTGGTTATCTATCTATCTATCTATCTATCCGTGAAGTTTGAACTCGGGACCCTGAGATCAAGACCTGAGCTGAGATCAAGAGTTGGATGTTTAATGACTGAGCCACCCAGGCTCCCCAATTTTGGTTATATTTTAAAAGATCACTTTGGCTACTGGGCTGAGTAATCAGTGGGAACAAGAGTAGAACAGATAGATCAGTAAGAAGATTATTACAATAACATAGGCAAGAAATGAAGATGGTTAGAATTAGTTTTTGTGACAGTTGCAGTGGACATTATGAGAAAATGATCTAATTCAGTGTACTTTTTTTTAGGTTGAGTTGATAAAGACTTGCTGATAGACTGGATAGGGAGGCTAAGATGTGAGTGGACTGGTGTTGAGGTAGAATCGAGGTATATTTGCACATGATAATTTTGAGATATTCATTGACATCTAAGAAGAGAAGTCAGCATTGGAGATGTAAGTTTAAAAGTCATTAGCCATTAGATATTTAAATCAATGAGACTGGATCACATCACTTTCTTGAAAGGTGTGTCTGTAAAATTCTGAAAGAAGTCTTTAAAATTAATATGTATGTTTCATAACAATAAAATAGAAAGATACTGTTCTAAAGTGGGTCATGTTATAATTAATATTAGTTATTTGTGTTACTATTAGACAAAAATATGAATATATTTACTATTTTCATAACCAAACAAAATTACACATGCAATCTTCTGACTGGAATTAATTGAGGCTTGGAAAGTCTTTTTACCAGGCAGTCAATCTATATTAAATTTTTCTCTACATCATGTTTAAAACTGCTAAAAATAGTTGAGATGAGCACTCAGCTATATTTAGACTTGCTGTTTTCTTCTGCTTTTCTGGAGTTTTACTTTACTCTCTGTTATTTTATTGAGCCAGTGTGATTTTGGCTGAGAAGGAGATACCACCCATGCATGTATACACTGGAGTAACCGTGCCTCAAAGTGTTAGTTTGCTATTGTGTGGACATGGACACAAAGACAAGAATACATTATAGAGTGTCTATACTTTGAGGCAGCAGGAAGGTCAAGAACTTGATTAGAACCAGTGTTGTCATCCTTTGGATTATAAGAGATTACCAGAGAATTTATGAGGTCATCTTTCAGAGATGAGGGGATGAGCAGTGGATGACCTCAAGAATGAGGATGTAGGAGGTCAAGTTTGTGGAGTTAGGGAAATCTGAAGAACCTTTTGTATGAGATGAGGGATAGAAGAAAAATTGAACTGAGAAAAGGTTTTTGGAAGGAAAAAAAAATCCCCTTCGAATGTATTCAATATCTTCAGGGTTATTGAAACCAGACTGGACTTCTGATGTCTTTCAGGGTCATTCATCACTGCTGATGGGCCAAACCACAAACGACAAACTTTTTAAAATGGAATGAAAAAAGCTGTGTGTTTGAAAATAACACTAATGGAAACTTCTTCTTGAGAGCTTAAGATGCTATGTATTCTGTAAAAGCTTAGAGTTAAGTGGTTTTGGCTGTAGAATCTCCATGGAGAATTAGTGACATTCTAGAGCCAAAGTCTCTTCAAATTACATCTGTGGAACTCCGACTCAAATCTCTGTCAACACATCTCCTTCTCCCACCCTCTTCTTAGTTTTGTGAAGAACGTGACGTCATTCCTTTTAGACCTCTGGGGCAATAGTACTATAGAATTAAAGACTCTAGAAGGCAGAGGATTTATGTAAAGGCATAGACCTGTTTTGTGAGGAGGATACACTTAGCTTGAAGGATACCGACTTTCCACATCTCATGCAACATACTTCCAGGGTCATCTGTGAGATTGTGAAAAGAAAAACAGAACTAAAATTTCAGGAACACTCTTGCTATTTTTTTTAAGTTAAAATGCATTTAGTATTTTCTATGCAACAGAACCACTGCTAGTTCTTCTCAGTACCTTTTTAATCTGTATTTATTTGCACGTAGCCTAGCAATGTACTATTTGATAATTTGATGTTCTGTTGATATAACAATTGATGGAATTTGGAAAAGCAATATCTTGTTTGGATTAAATTACCAATTATTTGAGGACATTTCTAATTCCCATAGTAGAATTTAGTGGATTTTTCAAAAAACTAAACCTGCAATTCCAGGCCAAAAGAAAAAAAAGTTTCACAGTTCTAGAATACTTTGCTTTTATAGGTAATTTAACAGTTTTAAAGTATATTATTACTTAGCCTTCATAAAATCTATAAGGTATTTAAGTAAGACAGATAATTATTTTTGTTGAAACACTTGTTCACTAGATTCCTTGCACAAATTTTGAGATTATGAATTTTTCTATATTAGAGGTTTACAGAGCTGAATTTTCTACCTTCTCTTTAGTCATCTGTCTCTACTGCATGACACTGAAGTCAAATTTAGAGAATAAGAAATTTCTATTTCTATGACCTAACTTTTTTTTTAAAGATTTTATTTATTTATTTGAGAGAGAGAGAGAATGAGAGACAGAGAGCATGAGAGGGAAGAGGGTCAGAGGGAGAGGCAGATTCCCCGCTGAGCAGGGAGCCCGATATGGGACTCGATCCCGGGACTCCAGGATCATGACCTGAGCCGAAGGCAGTCACCTAACCAACTGAGCCACCCAGGTGCCCTCTATGACCTAACTTAAGTTCCTTTTAAGTATGGGAAAACTGTCTAACTTCAGCTAGCATCCTCTTTATAATGGATGCTTTAGTCCATTGACCAGGAACAATGCTATAACATTTGAGAAAGACTAGATCATTCTATTGTACTTACATCAGCAATGTATGTTTATATACTTATGAAACAATATATATACGTATTTGGACCAAAAAAAATCTGAGATCCTTATGTTTTTTCTCACTCCACAGTGGATCCTTGAGTGATGTATAGCCCAATCTGAGTTCTGTGAGTGTATGAGATTCAAAATCCTCACGATTCAAAGGGTGATCAAGAATGTACTGTTGGAGCATTTACAAGCTCAATGGCTTCCCAAATAGATTCTAGTTTAATCTGACTTAGTCTGCTTTGTTTTTTACTGCCTGGGTATACTTACTGGGAGAGCTAGAGGAGGAATATCCAAAACCTAGTTTGGGGCTCTGCACTTTCAGTTCCATCTGTTGCAAGTACCACATCTTTGTATTTTCATTTTTCTTAAAAGGCTTGTGAATTAGGTTTAAAATGATAGCTTAAGGCTTTTTGTTATTATTTGCTATTTTTTTTTTTGTAGAAGCCATCGAAAGAATTAAAATATCACATTCACTTTGCTTCTTTCTTTTTCTTGGAATTTCAAGTGGAGAAGTAACAATATGAGTTAATGTTCAGTAAAACGTCTTTTTTTTTTTTCATAAAGCTTCAACTTGTGTTTTTTTCCATTTGGAATGCAGCAGCCGAAAACTATAAACAGGAAGCAGCCTGGAAGATATCACCTGGACAGCTATGAGCAATCCACCCAGCGTCTACGTCCTGTAGAGACAGAGGATATTGCAATAAAGGTTGTTTTATTTCCCGGATTCTTGCATGGCTAGAAACATTTATGTTACTCTTTTATGGTGACGTTCTGTAAAAGTGTCCTAAATCAGGTCTTTTAAGTCTCTTTACAGTGATCACCAATCCTCATAACATTTTCAAAAGTGTTCTGATGAATTTCATTGCCAGCTCTGCTTTGCCTCCTGACCACATTTCTTGCTCCAGCAGTTCTGTTTTAGTAACGGGAACATGAACTTTTCTTCGGAATCTGTGTTAGAAGCTAGTCTCCAACGTACTTCCTTTCATACTCTTACATTCCTCTACCTAGTAAATTGATTTATAGAGAACACCAATATTATAAATCCAGGTTTTAAGGAAATAAATTAGATAGTAGTTGTCTTCAACCAGGAGAGGCTTAGGCCAGTGTTGCATGCATTCCCTCCCCCTCCCACCGTGGGCCCCCCACCACCCCCCTGCGGCCCCCCCACCCGCCTGGTTCCCAGTAGTGCTTTTGATCCAATTTCATTTCAAACAGCCTTTTGTGCTCTCCCAGAAGTGTGCTTAGGTAGAACAGGCCACCAGGGGATAACCAGATGAGGATTGATAGTGGGTCCAAAGAGGGGTTAGTGGTGTACAGGAACAGATGCCTGAGCAGTCAAGGGCTTTTAGACATTGGTGCAGCCAGAGTCCTGGAAATTAGCCCTTTTAGAAAACTGTGTTGACTGCTGGGCTAACCAACTCCCTGTGCTGCCCAGGCCAGTCAGAGAGTGAGGGAGCCTCTGTGCGGATTATCATAGAGCCGAGGGCTACATTTAGATCTTCTCTCTCTCTGTATTGCCTGACACAATACTTGTTCCACAGTGGGCACTTAGCAGTTGGAGCAAATGTGTGGTTGGATGGAATAAGCGAATGTTCAAACTCTGCCATCGATTTGATATGTGACTTTTGGGCAAATTACTTTGCCTCTCTGAGCTATGGTTTGCCCATCTTGTGGAGGGGATGCCATTTTAGCATCCTTGTTTTGAAGACAAAATATGTCACGTGAATTTTAAAAAGCTTTAGTGATTTTTAAAAAAAATTTTGTAAAGATTTTATTTATTTATTTGACAGAGAGAGAAAGAGAGCATAAGCAGGGGGAGCTGCAAGCAGGGGGAGCCGCAAGCAGGGGGAGAGGGAGAAGCAGGAGAAGGAGCCTGATGTAGGACTCGATCCAATCCTTAAACCCTGGGATCATGACCTGAGTAGACGCTTAACCGACTGAGCCACCCAGGTGCCCCAGGAGTTTTAGTGATTCTTAACCTTGGCTGTACATTAGAACCTCCCAGAAAGCTGTGTGTGTGTGTGTGTGTGTGTGTGTTTATGAATATGACTCGGGAATCATTGAAAACAATAGTTCTAGTAGTTCCCTAACAATTATAATGTGTGGATAGGGTATGAAGTACTAGGCTATGACAAAGTCTGGAATGAGAGAGTAGGAAGGGCTTTCTGTGCTTCTTACTTCCAATTATGCCCACATAACAAGTAATATATGCATGACTACAGAAACAGGATCAGTTTTTTTTTAATTGACATTTTCTAGTCAATATAGTGAGAGTCTAAAAATACATCTTTTCCATGTGACTTACTAAATTTGTTTTTATTTTGAATGTAAAAAAAAAGAGGCTATCATTTGTTTTTCTAAAGTTGACCTTTCATGTACCAAAAAAAACCTCCACAAAAAAAAGCAAAAAACAAAAAACTCGAAAAACTGCTTAGCAATGGGCACTGCAGTTTCAGGCCCACCATCAAGCCTTTAAGTTTTTATTCATGGTGGAAATTCTCAAGTTGGTAATAACTCATTTGTCTTTTTGAAATCTTTTTTTTTATTGTGAAATAGAACATGCCTCCAGAAAAGTACATAAAATATATATGTACCATTAAATGAAAAAGTGAACCCCTATGCAACCAGCAAGTAAAGAACATCACCGGTTCCCTCCGAAGGTCCTCCCAATGCACACATTTGCTGTTCCCTCTTATATCTCTCCAAGAAACAATGCCACCCTGACTTTTATTGTCATCATTTCCTTGATTACCCCTGCTATGCATGCCTCCCTAAAAACATATTTTAGTTGTTTTAAATTTAAATGTGTGCTTGTGTGTGTGTGTGTGTATGTGTGTTGTTTCTTTTGCTCATTATGTATGTCTAGTTAATCCAGATCGTCATATGAAGACGTACTTCATTCATTCTCATTACTGTGTAACATTTCAATGTATGAATGTGCTGAAATTTATTTGTCTGTTCTACTTTTGATGGGCTTTTGGTTGTTTTTCCATTTGGGGCAATTGTGAACAATTGCCACGTCATGGGGTCTGTGCATCCTCAACTTTCCCAGATAATGGAAAATTGTTTCCCCAAGTGGTTGTGCCAATTTACACTTTCACCAATGGTGGCTGAGAGTCCTGGTTGCCCCACATCTTCACCAGTGCTTCCAATATTTTGCCAAAGTGTGTAGTGTGAGGAGGTGCCATTGCATCTTGTGCTTTTTATTTACCTTTATTTACTTTTCTGATTTCTACTGAGGTTGAGCCTCTTTTCACGTGTACATTGGCCAGGTGGATTTTGATTTCCTCTTTTGTGACTTGCCAGCTTATTTGTTCCCTCCACCTTTAAAAAATTCTGGGTACTACTTCTTTATACTTTATACTTTAGCTCTTTTGGCAGTTATATGTTACAGAACTCTTCTTCCATTTGGAGCTTGGCTTTATCATATCAGAAGTTGTTAATTTTAGTGTAGTCTGGTTTATATAACTTTTCCTTATGGCTGATGCTTTGGGTTTTTTTGTCTCATTTAAGAAAACTTTCCCTGCCAAAGGTCATGAAGATGATTTATATTAGCTTCTAAAATCTTTGAAGCTACACCTTTCACTTTTAGTTCTTGAATCAACCTCGGATCCATTTTTGTGTTTGGTATGAAGTAGGGATGTGATCTAGAAGGGAAATCAGTAACAAATAATTTTGGTTGAAATTTAATAGTAGTAAATTTAGTGGCAGTAATTTTACTACATTCAGTAGTGAGTCAGTAAGCTCTGATTTAATTTTGTGTATGACATCCGGTTGTCCCAGTTCCTCATATCAGTCACCGTTGCCACTGACATTCAGTGTCGTCTCATACACACTTCAGGGATCTTTATATGTCTGGACTGATTGCTGGCCTCTATTATTTTTTTTCATTGGTTTCTCTCACCCGGATTCCACTGCTATGATCATTATAACTTTCTAATAAACATTGACATATTTTAGGACAAGTTCTTATATGTTATTGTTTTTCTTCTGAAATATCTTAGCTATTCTTGTCCCTTTTGTGGGAAAGAGGCTTAATGTGTTTCAGGGCTTACAGCTCTGAATTAGTCCTTTTCTTTATACTTGGACTTGGTATTTCCTTACTCCTTGTTTTAATGAACTTCTTTACAAACTACAGTTTATTCAGCATTTTTCCTTATTTTTGCTTATTTTCAGCAGGAGGAAATGGACGATGGTCTGTGTAATGTCCTGCCTTTAAATTTTTAAAAAATTATTTAATTGAAGTAAAATTCACATAGCATAAAATTAACTGTTTTAAAGCAAACAATTCAGTGACATTTAGTACATTCACGATATTGTGCAACCACGACTCTCCATTGCAAAATATTTTCATCACCCCAAATGGAAATCCCATACCCATTAAGCAGTCACTCCCCATTTACCCCTCTTTCTTGCCTCTGACAACCACCAATCTGCTTTCTGTCTTTACGGATTTATCTGTTCTGGATATTTTATATAAATGGGTCATGCAATAGGTAATTTGCATCTGTCTAGTTCCTTCCTTTGCTTTTTTTCTTAAAGATTTTATTTATTTATTTATTTATTTATTTATTTATTTACTTACTTATTTACTTATTTAATTTATTTATTTGCTCCCTGTGGAGCAGGGAGCCCGATGCAGGGCTCGATCGCAGGACCCTGGGATCATGATCAGAGCCGAAGGCGGACGCTTAACTGAGCCACCCAGGCACTCCCTTCCTTTAGTTTTAATACATTCTTTCCCCTTATCCCTGATCCCCACTCCTATTCTGTACCACTCCCCTGCCATTATGGTACAAGCTCTAATGGCTCAATATATGTGCCTAAAGATACTCATATCCTTGTAAAATCTGTAAAAAGCATCTATGTGCTTTCAGTCTCCTGAAATGTGTTCATGATGGTTTCCTCCTTCTTACAACACTACTCTGTCCTGTAGTATACATCACCGGACTTTCCTTATCCGCTAAGAATGGACACTGGCTTTGCCTCCATATTCCTTCTATCACAAACCATGCTATGATGATCATTTTTGTACCTACCCTTTTATGGACCTTTGCAAAGATGTATATGTTGCCTGATTTTCCAAGGTCAAGCAACTATTTAGGGAAACCTAGGATTTTAACCCTGGTGGAGACCTGAGACTATTTTGTAAAAGGCAGGAGGGAGTGGAAGTGCAGATTGCCGCAGGAGAGATTAACTTGGACCCTCTTCCATCATCCTTCTTGAACGGAAGTTGTCCCCTCTTTTACTTCTGTGTAGCGACACTGCATTCTTCTAGCTCCTTCCCTGCTGCTTTCAGACCATATCTTTTCATCTCTCACACCTTTGTGAAGTTTTGGCATTTTCTACCTTTGTGGGCCTGTCTCCCTGTCCATCTCCCTAGCTTACTTGGTGTCATGCATGGATGTGATTTAAACTTCCAAGTGCCCAGCTCTTTAGTATCCCAGCCCAGAAATCTCTTGCTCTGCTCTCACTCCATTTCTACTACCTTGCCTGTGGTCACACCTGGCCACCACTGGGAACTGCTCTCCTCCAAAATCTTAAACTCTATTGTGTCAGGCAGTCACTGACCCCAGAACCCTACTTCCAGCTCTCTCAGGCCTCACCTTTGCTGACATTGCTTTTTAACCTTATCGAGACCTTCAGCAACTTGAGCCACTTCTCTTTCCCTCAGTCCTTTAGCACTTTCCGTAACCAATCCAACTTCGTGCTTTCGACAGTCCTAGAAGAGTCTACCGAGCACTGTAGAGGAAATGACACAATGGACTGGTTGGCAGAGCCACACATTTAGGATCTCCCCGCTCTGATGCCCCTCAGTAGTTCCTGGTGATCCTTTACGTGCCTCCCGTCAGCATTAGTTTCCTCAGCCTCCCGTGGCTCTTCCGCTTTCAGCACTGTGTTCTCACCTCCTTCCATGTCCCGTTTGACCTTTTCTCTCTGCAGATAAGCTTCGCTCCCAGTTCGTTGAAAACACAAGATTATTGGGGAGGGCCTTTCTCAGTTCCATGCTGGCCCACTTCCAAACCCAGTTATATTTGCAGCTCCTTGAGCCTCAGAGAAACAGTGATCTTCAGGCTGTTTAAATTTTTGGAGCATCATTTATCAGTTAGCCACAGTATCTTAAACCTCTGACCCAGCCAGCTCTAGTCATTATTTCCCACAACATGTTTCATAGTTTTCTGATCCTGCGCCTATTTGTATTGTAGGTCTTTACCCCCAAATGCCTTCATTGTAATTCAATATATTTTCCAAAACTAGCTAAAAGACTTCTTCTTCCAAAAAAAATTTTAAACCCCACCTCAGACATAAATGGTTTTCTTTCTCAACTGTGAATGGTTTTCTTTTCGTTACCCTTATTTGCCTGTCCCCTCTATTTGTTACTTAGCCCATACTGTCTTGTACTTGCTCCTGTCCATCGTCTATTTACTCAACTGGCTACAAGCTCCAAGCAAGTAGGGAGGAGGTCTTATACCTTTTTTGTAGCCCACATCAATACAAACAAAGCACCTCACTAAGAGTGGGTGCTCAGCAAATATATGTAAAACAATCAGTAATGCAGCCCTTCCATGCCACCCTCCTCCCAGGGTTAATTTCATGTAGATCTATGTGACGGATATTACTAAATGAGCTACATTTTACAAGTTAGAGAAAAACCTACGTAGAAAATTGCAGCCTTGTCTTTTCAGGCAACTTCCGTCCTTTGCTTCTGTTGTACCTCTTTTGTTTCCCATTTTTGTAAATATTAAAACTATAAAGTCCACCTCATGCCTGTTAAATAAATTGTTTTGGATGACTGTAGGTCTTGTGATCTTTGCCGGTTGTTGAGGTTTATCCCACCAGTATATGTTACCTCATTGCTGTGTTTTATTCCACTCTTCCTTTCACTGTTTGTTTTAACTTCATTGAATAGAGATTAATCCGCACAGTTCAGGAAACTCCTTTATTACAAAACCTTCTTCCTGGTAACAGAATCATTTTGTTGGAATAATTTGTCATTATTTCCACTCTATACCTTGCATCACCAGGATGCTGGGAATTGCCTAGCACTGAAAAAGTAATCAATGTTGGGGTTACATTAAAAAATATTTGGGACGATTGCTTTTTAAGAATGCTCACATGTAAATGATCTAGTAATCCTGAATTTTCAGAGAAAATTGTAATTTTTAGCCTTTTCATAATATCACTAATTCAAAGACCCTCCTTTCACTTCCATTCTTTTTTGTTCTTCATTTATACCTCTCAATAGCTACAACTCTAAATTAGAATTTCACCACTGTGTGTTCTACCTTATACTGAAAGTCTTTCAGTGCTCTAAATAGAAAATGTATTTTAATCGGAATTATTCTATAACACCAAATATATATATATAATTTTATAATTTAATTTATATGTTCTTCTTTTCTAGGTCACAAATGGTTACTTTTCATGGGGCAGTGGTTTAGCTACATTATCCAATATAGATATTCGAATTCCAACAGGTAAGTCATTTGTTACTCATTTTTTAATTGTTAATTATCACAACCCTGGATTTCCAAGATAATTGATCTTAACCAAAAAAAAAATAGACTTTTTAAACATTATAAACATTATTTATAGTTGTTTATTTGCACCATGTAGCTCATGAGCCACTGTATCATTGTGGAAATGACTGGAAATGCTAAGACTTGCTTTTCACTACAGAATGTGTAGACATTTGGACAAGTTATTTACTGTCCAAATAAGCTGTTATCAGCTCATTTGCTGATTTGTCCATTTAAATAATGGGGTAGTTGATTTTTTGTTTTGTTTGAGAAAAAGGATTTAAAGAAAGACTATTTAAGAGAATTATTTTCTATCCCTGAAGACAACTAAAGTTTTCAAGATATTTAAGGTTCAAATGCCCACTAATTTTTATTTAAAATGTCTAGGTAATTGAATAAAAATACATTTTTGACCTGGCCTGATGGCAAATAGGTTGGGATTTTTCTATTTTACATGCATATCAAAGTATCAAATTGGAGAAGATGTCTTAATGCCAACCTAAATCCCTTTCATCCCAATTATCAATTTGAGTCAAAACTGCCATCTCCTGAGTGAATTGAATAATAAAATTAAAACTAATTGAGATTATGTAGGCAATTATTTCATTGCTCTCTTCATTAATGTCAGCTATTCTCATAGTTGGAAACGGTAAAGCAAGACCTATATCTTTTAATTTTTCTCTCCTTTTTCAAAAAACCTTGTGTATCAGAGAAAGGAGTTATATATTCCAAATATATACCTTATTGCTGGAGACCAAATGTGAACCATTGATTTTGAAACATCAGCCTTTCTAAATGTATTTTGGTTTTATTTTACGAAGAGGATTCTATGTCCTCCTGTTCTTATCCTTTGTTTGATTTCTCTAGGTCAGTTGACCATGATTGTGGGCCAAGTGGGATGTGGGAAGTCTTCTCTTCTCCTTGCTATTCTTGGTGAGATGCAGACACTGGAAGGCAAAGTTCACTGGAGCAAGTATGTCTATTTTTAATTGGTTTCTATTGCCCTGTCATACATCTGATGATCTTCCAAGGGAAGAAATTAGAGCAATAGATTCCTAGGTTAGGAATCTGAGGATCCCCTCAGAAATAGGTACAGCTTTTTAGTAGAAACCTTAATGTCATAAATTATAATTTACAAAACAGTTTATTACAGAGGTTTAAAATAGCATAAACTAGTATGATTGGGATTGTAAAGTTATAAGTTAAATGGGTTAAATGGGTAACATTCAAAGAAATAATTTGAAAATTCATCCTGTGTTAGAAGAAGTTATAGAAAACTGACATTATTCAGAAAGCTTACATGCAAACAGAACTGTAATGATTTGGTGTTCAGTGAAGAAATACCAAACAATATTTTCCAAAATCTTCATAAGGGGCTGAGAAATCAACCATTTCTTTTCACACCCAATTTAAAGTAGGCACTAGAAATATCTAGTAAGAGACATATGGGTAGGTCAGAGTGATATGGTGTGTCACTGTAAAGGCATGAAAAAGGAGATATCTAGCATGGGGTTTCTTCTGAATATTTGAACGATTGACTTGGGGTCTTCAAAGCACATGGCAGTAATAAAGTGACTCAGAACCATAATATTATATAATTGTGTAATAAAGAGTTAATCCTATTTATTTAGTTCAACCTACCTAGTAGATTCCCCATAAGCAGTTTATGAAGAAATTGGCTACAGCTTATCTAAGAAATTGGATTGTAGACCAGTGGTTCTCAACCAGGTGTGATTTTGCTCCTGGGGGAGATATTTTCGGTTGTCACGCTGGGGAAATAGGCTGCTTCTGATCTTGTTGGTAGAGGCTAGGGTTGCTGCTAAACATTCTACAGTGCACAGGACTCCCCTCCCCCTCCCCCAGCCACACACAACAAGGAATCATCTGGCCCCAAATTTCAGTTGTGCCGAGGTTGGGAAACTTTGCTCTAGATCTGTAGATGTTTACTAATATTTTGCACCCAACCACTGTGAACTCTATTGCTGCTGACTCCACTGTTTACACACATATCTGTGTGTAAGTCTTTACTCAAGAGTGAGTAAAGACTATTTAAAGGCATTTTTAGAATTGATTCTATGTTAAGCTCCAGTGAAGAGAAGAAAATGTGTGGATGTGAAATTTGAATTGGAAACATCCTATATTTGGTATCATGGACAAAAGAAGGAGACTGAGAAATGTTGAGTGTATATTTTATTCCTGGTGGGCCAACCTAAAAGACAGTAGACATGAAACTATTTAGTGAATATCCAGAAGACAGCTTGGTAAATAATTGCTACCTGCAGTTTGCTTCATGACAAGTTCCTGGTGATCATTAAGGTCAGGCACCAGGCGGTCTGCCCTGTCACTATCTCCTTCCATCTTGTAGGTTTTGAGAAGTAGGTTTTACTTGATTAAATTATATTGTGTGACATGTACAACCATAATCAAGTTATTTGGGTTTTATTTTTACCTTTGTTTCACTGTCATTAAAACAGGAAGAAAGAATGGGAAACCATGACAGAAGAAGCTTGAGATTTTATTTTCAGACCTCTAGGATGTTCTTCTAATCTAGTCTTCTCTAGTGTTATTTAAGATTCCACTTAGGCCAGATCAACTTCCAATATTATCATTAATATCTTTATCTTTTGTTAATGGATAAATAAATGATATGTTACTTAGGAAAGTATTTTACATAATCTAGGGGCACCTGGGTGGCTCAGTCGGTTGGGCATCCAACTCTTGATTCCGGCTCAGATCATGATCTTGGGGTCCTGGGATAAGCTCTGCATCAGGCTCCATGCTCAGTGGGGAGTTTCCTTGCCCCTCTCTCCCTCCCCACTTGCTCTCTCTCTCTCTCAAATAAATAAATAAAATATTTTTTAAAAATAAGTAAAATAACATAGTATAATAAAGCTTGAAAAATAAAGATAAAGATATCAAAAAAATAAGATTTAAGTAATCTGAGACGTGAATGGGTAGAAATGCATGCACTAGAGTCCTGCGTATTTATAAAACATGGAGCACAGATTCCACTCTGAGCTTCATGAAAGCTAGGCAAAAAGGAAACTAGAGATAAAAACATACAGTTACTCAACCGAGGTTAAGAAATCTTTCTTATGGATCCTAATAATAAAAGCTAATAAAAAAGATTATATCTTAGAGATGGAGCCAATAGGATGAAGGTGTAAGAAAGGATTTAAGATAATTCTAAGTATTTATAAAATCCTCATAATTTAAAAATCATCTTTTTATCAACATTTGCCTTCACAGACAATAATCCCATCTCTTAATGGCAGAAGGACTGAGATTTTCTTCAAATACTGTTTGTGCTGGCTTAGAGACACAACTCTTAAAAACTAAGTCTCTAAGAGATTCAATAAACTAACACAAATTCTATTTTCCTTTAACTATAAGAATTACTTAATTTTCTTCCATGGTATCCTTAATCTCTGATAAAACGTATTTTCGGATCAGGAATATTCAGAAGATACTGACCTTCTTTTAAAGAGTTATTTGTAATTACTCTTCATTCCATAAGAGGTTGTTGTGCCTAGTCCAATAAGGAAAGGCATAGAAATGTTATTAGAGTGAAGTTAACTTAGAAATGATCAGTATTGTGGTTTGTCTCCCTCTCTGGTTTCGTCTTGTTTCATTTTTCCCTACCAAACCATAAGAGACTTTTAATGTCAGGAAACAAACTGAGGATTGCTGGAGTGGAGGGGGGTGGGAGGGATGGGGTGGCTGGGTGATGGACATTGGGGAGGATATGTACTATGGTGAGCACTGTGAATTGTGTAAGACTGATGAATCACAGACCTGGACCCCTGAAACAAATAATACATTATATTTTAATAAAAAAATTAAAAAGGAAATGATAGGTTGATGATGTGCAAATGCTAAGAAGTACTATATGTTTGATATTGTTGAAAGTTCAAAAAAAAAACCCCAATAAACTAAATGTTAGCATAAGGCATCAAGTGCCTTGCTGTCATTATTTCACCATTGTATGTATCTCTGGTTGCATGAATTTTATTTTTACATGTGTTCTCATAGACTGGCATGAGCAAAGTCCAATAAAGTACTTTGCCCTATTGTGGTGATAAATATTTACTTTAGGTGGGAGAGAAGGTACTGTGGCTCATCTAGACACACCTACATGGATAGAACCAGGTACACAAAGACCTCTATAGATGTTTCTTTGGAAATTGCTACCTATGACCTAGTCTGCCATGTTGTAGCCCCAGAAGAGAAAGGTGAGAGAGACAAGGAAGGGACTAAAAAATTTTCCAAAATTGTCAGAATGTCAGGTTTTTACTCCTGCATCTTGGTGTGCTCAATATTTGTTGAAAAGCAAATGTTCTGGGGTGCCTGGGTGGCACAGTCAGTTGAGCATCTGACTCTTGGTTTTGGCTCAGGTCATGGTCTCAGGGTTGCGGGTTTGAACCTTGAGAAGGGCTTGGCATTCAGTGCGGAGTCTGTCTCCTTCTGCCCCTCCCCCTCTTCTCTAAAAATAAATAAATTAAAAGAAAGAAAGAAAAGCAAATGTTCTGCCTGAATGAATTTGTTCTTCCCTATTTGTCTTAATAAACAGTAATTCCTACTGACATCTTAGGAGCTAGAACTAAACTGCTCTACCTAATGGGCAGTTCCAGTGAGGGAGTCTGGAGTGTGTAATAAGTGTGGTAATCATGTGAGACACAGACATCATTTGTTTTTGGTTTCCCTTTCTTTTCCTTTCCTTCTTGCCCAAGCTATTAACAATCCTCCTGTCAGGCTCCATATGTGCTGATGTTCTATCTTCTAGTGTCTTGATATAATCAACTTTAGAACAGTGGTTCAATTATTCTAAGACAGGTGAATTGAGAAGTTACTCTTTTTCATGTGACTTTGCCTGGTATGAAGGAATAATAACACATTGAGTCAGCTTTCCTGGATTAGATATAATACAGCATGTTTGTGTCCACATTTAGCTCCCGTTCTAAATTTTAGCTTGCAAAAGTCACTCTTTCCCATTCCATAAGTATCATCCATGATACTTGAAAGTTGCTAGCTCTCAAGTTTAATTTTTACTCTTGAAAGAAAATACATACAAATCCTGCATGCAGAAGGGAAATCTTATGCCATTTTCCAGAAGAGGATTTTCCATATGACCTCTTTGTTTTCTTTTGTGGCTTTCAGTGCTGTTCACTGCCACAGTGAGTGGTAGAGGATGGGTCTGGATGTGGTCCTGGTGATTTTCATGTAATCAAATAAGATCTGATGTTGGAAGTCAGAGATAATTCTATTGATTTTGGAAGAGAAAAATAGTCCTCCACCGTTGAATTTGATTAAACATATTACCGCTGTGTAGAAGGTTGTAGAGGTGGTCTTTAGAAGTTAAGGACTATGAAAGACTATGGAAAATGAAAGAGCAAGATTTTTTTTTAAATTTGTTCATGGAAGATGTCTACCTACAAAAGGAACCATATCTATTTTATCTTTCTTACTCTAATACTAGTATATCTTTGACATGCAGATCACTGTGTTAGTTGCTAGGGGAAAATAACTGAGCAAAACAAGTCAGGCCCTGTTCTCCTGAAGCTTACTGCTTAGCAGGGAAGGCCACAGGAAGTAAGAAAATAATTCCATAAGTAATTATTTGGTTAAATTTTTATAAATGCCAGGAAGAAGAAGTACAGGATTTTGTAAGAACAAATAATAAGTAACCTAACTGACTTGAGTCTGTGGGGTCGACAAGGCTTTTTTAGGGGAATGCATAAATGAGTGATAATTGAACTTATATTTTAAGGATAAACCAAAATTAATGAGTCAAAAAAGTAAGGAGCTGCAATGTAGTGGAGATAGAAGGTGGAGAAGAATATTCTAATTCTTCTTCAGTCTTTCTGTGGTCTGCTGTAGTACCCTCTTCCTTTACATGGCCCTTGATTTATAGCTTTGATTTCAGTTCTTCCCTAAGTATTAACAGCATACCAATGTACATTTCTGGCCAAGATCTTTCTTCTGAAGACCTAATGACTCCTCCAAAAAGTCTTACATAAGCTACCATATTGGAACATATCCAAACTGAGTTCATATCCCTCACATCTCCAATAACTTCTTCCCCTGTATCTTGGCAGGAGTGTGTCCCCACCCACTGAAATCAGTTGGTGGATGCCCAAGTCAGAGCTCAAAGGTTCAACCTAGATTCTTCTCTCTCTCTCCATTGCCCCCACATTCCAACCAATCACTTTCCTTCTGTCTGTCCTTAACATTCCTATGCCTATTTTAATTTGCCTAGTTCAGGAGAATTGCATTTGTGAACTATTCACTGTAATAACTCCTTCACCTTTCTTCATACTTCATACTACATACTTCATACATCTCCTAATGGAGATGTACCTTTCTGACATGAAAATCTAATTACCTCTTGCTTATAATTTTTTTTTTTTATTGACTGGGCAAAGCATACAAGAAATAGTCCAAAAATCTTTGCATACTATACCAGACCTTTCATGATCTGGTCCCTGTCTAACTCCTTAAGCTCGTATCCTACCATCCCTGTACCTATTGTGCTCCAGTAACTCTGAATTGCAGGCATTTCCCAGAGGCACACATTTCCTCTGTAATGCCCTTCCTTAGATTGTTAGCCTCACGTTTTTTCTAGTGTCAACTCACATATTATCTCTTCGACAAAGCCTTCTCTTATTCTTCCGGCTAGATTGAAATGTACCTTCTCTCCTGGTCCCTCTGTATTTTGTTTAAGTAACTAATGTGGATGGTCTCCTTAGTAGACTGAGATACCCTATATCCAAAGCATGTTGTCTTTTTCTCTTTATCTGCTTCACATCTAGTCCAGGCCCGGCCTCTTTTCTATTTTTATTTGTGGAAAAACAGCACTCTCCCATCTCTGTCTCTATCTCTATCTCTACCCTGTCTCTGTCTATCTAATCTCAACCTACAGCCCCCTTCAGCTACTACTCTAGCCCCTTCCTTTTGTAGATTAAAAAAAAAACAAAACCTTCACTCATTCTTTCCATTCCTCTTATACTCCTCTTGCCTTAGCCCACTGCACTCTGGTTTCTACCTCTGCCACTCCACTGAAACTATTGAGTCCATCAGTGGCATCCTAGTTTTTAAATTCATCGGGTACATTTTGATCATTATGTTACTTGATCTCCTGGCCACCTGACATTGTTGCCCATATCTTTTCCTTTAACAGGTCTCCTTGCTCAGTTTCCACTCAGGGTTGAGTTTACCTCAAAGCATTTGCCTGCTCCTCTTGCTCCTTTCTCCAGTTTCTCTTCCTTAGCCATTTATTAAATAGTGCTGTTTTTTGGTTCTGACTTTGTCCCCTTCATTTCTGCCTCTGTATATACTCACCAGGCAATCAGATAGCTTTCTATGAATTTAGTTTCCTCTATCTGGTCCTGTACCTGTATTCTATTATGAAACAAGCTACAATTGTTGGAAGTTATTTATTGACTTTTCACTAATTAAAGATGGAATCCAAAGCCCTTGATATCTAAGGCATATATTAGAAGGGAAACATCACTACAAAGTCTTCATTTGTTTACCAGCTCTCTCTCCTAAGCTTCAAATTCTGCTTCCTGGCCATAGTCATTCTGGAATCCCTGGGGTACGTCAAACAGAATGTGTCTGATGTTGAATTTGCTATCTTCCCCCAACATACATACTTCCTCATCTGTGTTCCCTGTCCACAACTTCTTCCCCTCCTGTATCCCCTCCCATCTTGGTATCTTTGAAGGTGTCCACTTCTCTTCATTCATTCACCATTACTCTAATTCAAAGCACTGCCTTCATATCTTGATTACTGACCACTTCCAGTGGTCTCTCTGTCAGTCTAGTCTTGCTCCTCCAATTTGTGTGGTCCATTCTGCAATTAGAGTGATATATCTAAACTGAACCTATCTCACTCTCTCTTGTTTAAACCCTTTCAGTGTTTTTCTGTTGTTCTGAAGACAAGTTCAATAACTGTAAAAATGGTTTATGAGCCCCTTTGCTATCTGGCTGTGCATGCTTTTTAAGTTCACTCGTACTTTTCTTCACTTGCCATTTACGCACACATTTTAGCCATGCCGAATTTACATCAGTTCCTTGTAAGGCCAGGATCACTCAAGACCATCAGTATGTGTTTTAGTGGGTCTGAAATACTCTTCACCTTTACTTCATCTAGCTCACTCTTGCTTGCCCCTCTGGCAGCAACTCTGCTGTATACCCTGGCTTGCCAAACGTGGACTGGATGTTCTTCTCCTAGGGAGATGATCAATATATACTTTAAAATCGATATTGAATAAATATAGTTGGAATTTAATGAATAGTAATTGAAAAAAATTGATGCCTTCCAAATTCATATGTCCAATTTGGGCTGACATTTTCAAACATCTGGTGAGCATTTTCATGAGTCTAATTGGCACTTCTGGCTGAATGGCCAGTAGGCAAATTAATCCATTAATTTCTGCCATACACCTGCTTTTCTTCATCTGTTTTCCATCTTCCTCAAATTAACTAAACCATTGAGGTCATTCACTGGCTTTTTGCCATTAAAAAATCAAATTTCTTTATATCTAAAGCACATTATATGGAACTATCACTTAGGGGAAATTGTATATTTCATTTTTGTGTGTGTGAGCAACTTAAGTTAGGGAATGATCATTTTTGAGAGGGAATTTTTAGTCTGAGATAGTTTTTTCCTGCTTCCATTAACCATACCAAGATGTTATTAGCAATGTGCATGCGTGAAAATCTTGTCATTAGTAGCTCAAAGCTAGACATCACCAGGCAACGTACTTAGGTATATTTTCTCCACAAAAGCATATGGTGTTTTCCAAAGCCAAATCAGATCTATTTTTTGGGTTCCATTGGACTTTAATTTTGTGTGTAGTTTTTTAATTCAGGTCTTTTAGAGGGATGGAATTCAATTACGTTATTAAAATTCAGAACAATAAAATAAATAGGTCTTCAGGTGTCTTTTTCCCCCATAATATAGACATAACTAAATGTTTTTAGACAAACACCTTTTTGTACATGAATCATATCAAAAAATAATTAATTTTACCTAAATGTTGCAGTTTGACCTATTGTATATGTGTCTTTCTCACCAGTTCCTTAAGGGCCAGGCTGTGTCTAAACCTTTTAAATTTAGAGCCCCCAAAATGTTCTTCTTTTCATGCCACAGGGTAGCTAATTAAGAATTTAAATAGATTAAATTTGAGTTTTAAAGGTAGGGAGGCCTTGGAGATACCAAATCCTTATACAGACTAGGAAACTATTCTAGGAAGATTACCTAAATTTATACAGTTTATTGGAACAGAGTTGGGGTAGAACTCATGTCACTGTATGAACCCAGATTTTGTATATAATAGAACAGTACTGTCTATCTTTTGGAAGCTTACTAAGTAATTATTTCCTAGCTGATGAAGATGTAAAAGAAAATTGTTATCTGTCTGGTTTGTCTTTGAAATTAATATCAAAAACCATTTGGGAAACAGCTCTTGAATATGTTCAATGTTTATTTTATTTCCAACCTGATATATGCACACATTCATTCTATATTTATATTTCATAATTAATGAACATTGTTTGCCATACTTGCAGTGTAAATGAATCTGAACCTTCTTTTGAAGCAACCAGAAGGTATTATTTCTATTTTAATCTGCGTTTAATAAGAATAACTTTCTTCCTCAGACTTTACTTAAAACTCAGTCTCTTACTCCTGGTCATTTTATTCATTCTTATAGTGTATGAAGTTTTTATTAAAATATGCCTACATATTTCCAAAAGCAGTGGTTCCCAACATTTATAAGCTGCTAAAAAAATTGACTTGCCAAACAAAAGGGCCCATTGTGTCAGTGGTTTTCCTCTCCATGATTTACAAAGTTCTCAACTTTGGCTGAAATTCAAACTGTTCTTTCTTAGCAAATTGGTTTTGGGACTTCATAAAATAAAAATGCAAGAATATGCATATTGTTTATGAGTTAAATAGTGATGGGATCTGTCCAGAAGCTAGAGATAGGAGGACTGGGGGGAGGGGAAGCAGACATGGCAGAAGTTGGGAACCACTGTTTTACTGTACATATGGTTATCTAAGAGACTACTAGCATACTGTGTATCATCATGTCTTTTAAACTCCTAAGACATAATGTTTCAGGATGATCACTGAGAATTTCTAATTACTCTTCTCCTTAACCTTACTATCTTTTAACCTTGATTCCTTAATTAGTACTTACAGACCATGAACTAACGGTGGAAGTGTGACTTTAAAGCTGACCCCTTTCTTACCCCAATCCCATCATATTCTTTATCTTCAACTCACATATATTTGTTACTGCAAATTAAAGTCTGATGTATAGATATCTAGTAGAATTTGCAAGCCAAAAAAAAAAATGGGGGAGGAGGAAGAGGTTACAATTTTTAAAAAATAAACTATTTCAATATGTTTTGAAATATGTAGTTTTTAAATGTGTGTTATTTCAATATTAAAATGGACTCCTCGATATATTATTCTTTGTTTTGAAATAATTATATATTACCTATTACCTTAAAATATGTTAATGTGATTAAGCCACAGACACAGTACCAATTCATGTCTTTTTCTAAGGTCTGCATATAAAATTAATAATTATGTAAAGTGCTTTTAATAAAAAGTAAAAAGCTGTGGCTATCAGAGAGAGTGTGTTGCTATTTATCTTTTAATTATTTTAAAAATTACAGTCATTACAGTAAATTTTCAATTTATTTAAACACTTCTTTAGCAAAGCAAAATCAAATTTTGCACATTGGAAGACATTTTGATTAAATTCAAATCCTTTTAATTTAGGTGAAATACTTAACCATTAAATAATAAGGTTGGTGGTTATTAAAATATTCTTTCTTGGAAGTTTCCATTTCTGTGTCTGAGATATTTTATCAACTTTTATTTTCCTTAGTTTTACTAAAATACACACAGCACAACACCCTGGTATAATTTTGGCTTTTTGTTTTTCTTTTCCATTTTCCAGTAGGAACAGGTATTCTGTGGCTTATGCAGCTCAAAAGCCTTGGCTATTAAATGCTACAGTAGAAGAAAATATTACCTTTGGAAGTCCTTTCAACAAACAGAGGTAATTTTGAATGTATAAAATTTAGAACTAAAATGAGAAACTATTTCTAATCCTTATGTTTGGTCCATGGGAACCTTTATAGCCATGACTTCCTTTTTCCCTGCTTGCCTGCCTCCCTCCTCACCACCAGGTCTTCTGAGTCAACTTTTTAAAGAGAAGTCTTACTGGAAGTCTCAGCGCATCTTGTACATTTATTGAGAACAACTTGTACACCAAAACTAAACAGCTGAAATGAAATTGGGGGGGCAGGGGGTGTTACTGAGGTTATTGGTAAGTAGAAGGAAAAAAGCAAGGAGCAGAAGGAAAGTTACTGATGGAAAGAAGAATAATGTAGGATCTGAGAGGTCTAGTTATTGAGAGCAGCCAGAATACGCCATCTGTCAACCATCTTTAAATACCACCAGAGTGCACAAAGGCCTAACCCTTTCATGAAGCCATCATGTCAGGACTGGGTCTTAAAACCTTAAGTCAAATCTTCAAAGTTAAGAATTAGGTCAGGGGAGAGAGGCATGAGGAGGGGAAGGAAGAGGAAAACATAGTATGGGAGGAAGAACCTAAATTACATGGGATCATTTGGGGCTGGGGGAACAAACCAGTCAGGAAAGGATTTATGTGTATTGACAGTGGCAAACTAGTTTATAAATAAAAGCTGAAATGATGTAGTGGAGTGCCTTAAAAGACAACTGGATATAATTCAGTATATTCTGGGGAGGCGTTGTAAGTTTTAGAAAGGGGAATAGCAAAGTAAATGTGATGTTTAGTCTGGAAGTGTAATGGCGGTTACATACAAGATGAATCTGAATTAGTAGCAAGGAGACATTTAGATGTTTGTTGGAATAATCGTCCAGGCATGCGGTGTTCATTGCCTACACTTGGGGGTGACTGCAGAAATAGAAAAGAAGAGACGGTTGGCAGAAAACCATTCTAGAAAAAGAATGGAAAAGTAAGAGCAAGGAAGAAGAGGGATTATTCAAGAATGACTTTTTAATATTTTAAGACTAGATGATTGAGAAAATGAAACTATGGATATTTTCCCCAGCATTCCCTATCTCTATGCTTCCCTAAACTTCCCAGCCTTAGATCTATTTGAGTATCGTCAATCCTGAACACCTTCTATTCCTCTTCCCTTCTGCATGCATGACCATATGCAGACAGTCACCTGCAACCTGTGTTTCAGCTTGAGTGAGCCTCCTGTTGTCCCTGAGATGCACCATGAGCTTTTCACCTTCATGCAGTTCCTAAAGCTTCCTTTCCCTCATTTTATTCTGGGCAAATTACAACTCATCCTTCTGGATACAGCTTATGTGTTGCCTCCTTTGCAAAGCCGTCACTAATTTCTCAGAGTGGTCAGCCATTTCTATGTATTCTAGGAGCATTTTACACCTACCTCTGCTGTAGTGCCCAAGGAGATCCATTTTATTATATGTTTCTTTATCAGTCTTCTGCTCCATTTAGTAGTTTTATAAGAGTGGGAACCAATATCTAATTAGCTTTGTGTCCACAAACCTACTGTAGAGGCTAATCTGTACTAAATTGTTCAACAAATGTTGTATTTTGGCTTCCAAGATATTGAGCCTGGGACTTATTTTATGGACAGTATATTAATAGTGATCTAAAAATTCAAAATAATTTCTCCCAAAGGTACAAAGCTGTTACAGATGCCTGTTCTCTTCAGCCAGATATTGACTTACTACCTTTTGGAGACCAAACTGAAATTGGAGAGAGGGTGAGCTATGTATAGTTTAAACAATAAACAAAAATCTAGAAAAGTCTTCTGGTTGTCTTTAACCTTTAATGGAGCATAATGAAATCTGAGAGTGTAGGGGCTGTGTATTGTCCTAGTGACAGGTTCCAGAAACAGGAGCACAGGAGCTTTAATTCCACTCTTAAGTATTTGTTGGGTAACCACCATCTATGTAACATCATGCTAGCTACTAGAGAGTTCTTAAGGAATATAATGCAGTTCCTGCCTTTGATCAAATGTATTTTTCCTTACTTGGAGTTGAAATTGAGATTTTTCTGACTTCTTCCACTCTTGTCCACGTCTATTTATTCTTGTTAAAGTCTCCATTTTTTTTTCTTTGTGTAAACATGTTTTACAGTGATGTCATACTATTCTGGGCAGCTAAAAAATATTTATGCCTGTATATAATCTTTATAACAATTTTGGCTAAAATTTTTTGACTCTTAGAGGTTTCAAGTACTGGGTAAAAATTTTATGCACTATCTATGTTTACAGCAAATTTGTTATGTGGGTGTTATCATCTTCTGCATATTGCAGCTGAGGAAACTAACCTGAGAAAGGTTGAAGAACTTGCCCAGTTAGTGGTATAGCTGGGATTCATCTAACTCTGTAGTCTGTGTTCTTAATGCCTATTCTTGATCGCAGCACAGTATAGTATTTAAGAGTATGGACTTGTAGTTTCCTCGTGTGTAAAGGGAATGATACCTATATGTTGGAATTGCTATAAGGAATAAAAGAAATAAGGAATGTAAAGGCATTCATACAAGCCTAGCACATACCAAGTGCTCCATATAGTTTAAAAATATTTATAATGAGTACTTGATTATATAAATTATAATTAGTACTTAATATAGTACTGCTATGTAGTTCTGTTGAACATAATTGGTAATATCAAATTTAAGAGGTATATGTTAAGTAAACTACAGACACAATTCACAAAACTACTAAAAATTCTGGAGTTACTTGCTGTGTTTAGCACTCAACTCACCATGTGTTTAGTTATTGATGCTTTTGTACAGCAGAGCTGTCTATCAGAGTGAAAAAAGAATTTGTTACCAGTCAAAAATTATCTTAATATAAAGTATTGACCAGTACTTTATAAAGTATTAATATAATTATAAAGCATTGACCAGAAAATTGACAATTTTCATTTTACCTTAATAATGTTATCACAATTTAATTAATAAATTACCATTAAAGATTTTTTTTAAAAGAAATTTGTATTTTAAAGAGAATTTTTACTATTGGAAAGGGTGGATGTTTATGATTATTTCTTCTCTAGGGCATCAACCTGAGTGGGGGTCAGAGGCAAAGAATCTGTGTGGCACGAGCTCTCTATCAAAATACCAACATTGTCTTTTTGGTGAGAATATGACCTTCATTTCTACTTCATTTTTCCCTCTGGACAAATGAGCCTTTAGAGACAAGTCAAGTGACTGAAGGACAGACAGTTTAACTTCTGAAATCATAAAGAATATAAAGGAAACAAAATCCCATAGTCCAAACATAAGGTTGAAAGTTGGGGTATCCAGATTGGTGTCCAAGTGACTTAGGTGCCCTAAATTGTTGCTTATATGAGTTTCACAACCATGAGGATCATTAATGAAAAAGTCTGTATGGTGTTGGATCAACTGGACAGGATCATGTCTTCTCATTTATATTTGCTGACCAAAAAAGGACTAGAAAATGTACTCTTGGTGGAGAGAAGGATAAGTGAGCATAGTACTCCATTCCAGTGGTATGCAATTCAAGCTGTGCATGAGCTTTGACTGTGAAGCTTTCTAAAACTATAGAAATTTTGGTACCACCCTCGACCTACCAAATCATAATTTATAGGGGTAGAGTCTAGAGTCTGAGTCTTAAAAGAGGTCTTTGGATGAATCTCATGTATATCCTGGGTAAAAAACTTGGTTCTACCTATGGATCCATAAACACAATTTGATGGTTATGTTGATTTTGAATTTTGTTCTAGTTTGGTTCCTCCAGCAGGAGGTAGCCAAAATAACTTAACTTACAAGTACATATATTAGAGACCAGTAGACTATGTAAATGCATTCTTCCCCTGCCTTCTCCTTCTGTGCAATTATTCATTTATAAATCTGGTTTCCAGACTTACTTTAGAGTTTTCACTCCATCTAATATCTAGAAGCTCTTCAAAAAGTAGGTTGGTTTTGGAGTTTCCCACTAAATTTGGATCTATTGCTGGGGATAGGAATAGAATTTGGACACACTGGAAATGGTTAATATCCCTAAGAATACCTGTCCCCAAAATTTTCCAGAAAAACACACCATTAAAATCATAGCAGGATCTAGCAGTAACTTATGTAATTGTAAATCCCTTTCACAGTGGATAGACCCACAACTGGCAATGACTTCTCGAATTTGGGGATCATTTAATGGCTGACCTACCTGAAGACCAAATGACTCGGGAATCTGAAAGAGACCAAGGTTCTCTGGGTGTAGTATTCTATCCCTGTTCATTACATTGCCATCAATTTAATGACCCTTACTTATTTCATTTGTAGAGTCATGGAATTCAAAGAAGTCATAGGATTAATTTATTGTAGATTCCCATCCATTCATTATAGGATTACTTTTCACATCGCCTCTAAGAGCTTTCTGATGACTCTCTTTCAAGACAGATTGCTTAACTTCAAGGTGGCCTTTTCCTTGTTGGTCAGTGTATAAATTTCCTATTGCTGCCATAACAAATTGCCATAATTGGTGATTTAAATAATATGTACAGTGTGATGGTTCTGTAGATTAGAAGTCCAATATGGATCTCACTGAGTGAAAATCCACGTCAGCAGGGCTGTGTTCTCTTCTGGAGGCTCCAGGGGAGAGTCCATTTCCTTGCCTTTTACAACTTCTTGAGGCTTCCCACACTCCTAGGCTCATGGCCACATTCTTCATCATCAAAGCCAGCAACTTTGTATCTCTGACTTTTTTTACTAGTCACATCTTCCTCTCTACACAGCTGGGAAAGTTCTCTGCTCTTGAGGTTTCATGTAATTAGTTTGGACCTATCTGGATTATCCAGGACAATCTTCCAATCTCAAGGTCTTTAATCTTAATCATATGTGCAAAGTCCCATTTACCATGTAAGGTAACATATTTACAGGTTCTGGGAATTAGGACATAGACATCTTTGGAAGCTGTTATCCTGCCTACCACAGAGAGCTCTTATTGGAAAGTTATTATATGATTAAAATTTGCTTCGGTGGATTTTTCATTAACTGGTTTTCCTTCTGCTTCTGCAGCAGCATATATTTCTTTATGCAGCCATATTCAACATTTTAATATTATTTCCACAACTTGCCTTAATTTATTTTCTTTAAACTAAGCAAGCTGAGTATTTTTAATACTTCCACAATAATATAATTTCTATAACTTTTGTTAATCCTGGATATAATAGTGTTCATCAGAGTCCCTTTGAAAAAGTGTGTTCTAGATGCAATCTGGTCAGTTCAGATAACCTTTAAACTATTGGATCTTATGATCTAAATATTGTATGTACTTCATTGCAACCTGAAACTGAATAATATTTTAGCAGCAAAAAAGATACTGTTGATGTGTTTTTATAATTACCTCAAATTTTTGTTTAAAAATTCCATTGTTTAAAATTTCCACTTCCATTGTTTAAAAATTCACAAAGCACTCAGTGTTATTCTATCTGATTTTTATGAGTGTGCTGTGAGGGTAGATGGTATCCCCATGTTAGATGAAGAAACATATGCATAGAGTGCCTTACCCAAGGACTAATGACTAGTGAGTGGCAAAGTCTGGGCTAGAACAGCATGTCTGTTGAGTATTGTTTTTCTGATCAGCAAAGATTCTCTGGTATTAAAAATTATATATTACTGTCAAATTACTACCTATATTGTCCTATTTTTCCCTTCCTTTTGCCTTCCCCCTTTACCTCCTTCTCTTCCCAGCTTCCTCCTTCCATTCCTCCATCTCTCTCTTCCCTTTTCCAACCCTTCCTTCCCTCCTTCTTTCCATCCATTAATATTTAGTGAATGTCCTCAGTGCCATCTTCTGTGCTGGGTGGAGGAAACAAAGGAGAAAAAGACATTACTCCTATCTTTAAGGACCTTGGGCAAATAATTACTTGGATGATGTTATGTTTTGCTTTAATTAACTTTATCATATTAGCCTTTACACAATATCAAAGCCAAGTGGAAACATCTTAATGATGTATCAAGTATATTAGTTATTTTTGGAGCTTTATGGCATCTACAAATGTACTGTGTGTATCAGTGAATATATTTATGTTATTTTCAAAAGTATACCCATGCATAGCTTATACTACTTACACATATTCATTGAATATAGGAAGAATATATTAGTGAGAAGTGTATATATGTATATAAAAATAAATAATATGCTCTTGAAAATAAAGAATTGTTTATTCATTGAATTAGTTTTTTGACAAATTGTCTTGCTTTCTTTAAAAGAAGTATCTCCCCAAAATATTAATATACAAACTGAATCTTAAGGAATGATTCCCAGCTCATCAAACTTAGATTTTTATTAAGTTGTATAAAATATTACATTTGATTGTAACACCAAGATGCTCCATAATGAAGCTATGGCACATAAATGATAGCAACCACTCTTAAAGACTTTCTATGACATAGGCATGATTCTAAGTACATTAACTCACTTAATCCTCAGAACAACCCTATTAATTTTGGCATCATTGCTATTATTATTATATTATTATTATTATTATTGCTATTTATGAATGAGGATGCTGAGGCTTTGGGGGATAATTTATCCAGAGTCACACAGTAATAGAGAAGCAAGGATACAAACCCTGATGGCCTGATTACATAGCCTGTATTCTTTTTATTTTATTTTATTTTATTATGTTAATCACCATACATTATATCATTAGTTTTTGATGTAGTGTTCCGTGATTCATTGTTTGCGTATAACACCCAGTGCTCCATTCAATACATGCCCTCTTTAATACCCATCACCAGGCTGACCCATCCCCC